ACGGAGCCCATCGAGTGCGTCTCAAGCCAGAAGCACATGTGCATCCCATCTACAAGAGATCTGAGCAAATCATCAGCAGAATTAACGTAGAAAGAAGGCGGGGTGAGGATCGTGAAGGAAAGCAAGACACATTGCCACGTATGCGTCGAAATAGACGCCCTCTTTGACGGTCAGCGCTTTCCATGTCGGGGTCAACGAGAGTCGCTCCCGTCTGTTCCCTCGACCCATGCCCTCTCTCCCTGACTTATCCTCAATCGCTCCAAGCAGCGACTAGTAGCAGCTGTCTATTCCGCGCACACCGTAGTCCTATGAATAGTGCAACCAGGATCTTGCGAGTCTCAAGGCCTCGCACATGCTTTGTGAATATCGTGTACACTGCCGAGGGCTTTGCCCGTACGACTGATACGGTGTTGGACATAGCGGGGACGTTGATAGGGACCGTGTTGGATAGCAAGGGATGCCGAGTCGTTGTATCGCTTGTTCGGCGCCGCGCACCCGTCCTTCGTGAATAGACCTTCGTTGTCTACCTATGAGTAGCTACCGGCACTGGCGATCTGGAGCTGGGCGGTCGACTTGTCGTGCTTGTCATGAGAGCGGGTCTCGAGGCGGGCCTGCTCCTCGGCGATCTGCTCCTCGAGCTCGGCGATAGTGTTGACGCCTGGTGCTTGGTCGCGAGGTGTACACCTCTCGGTGGAATCTGGATCATGCACAAGAATGGTGTCTCGCACTTGACTGCTAGTAGCGACTTGGACATAGCATACATATATCCGCATCTTGTCTAATGAAAAGTAAATGGTATCAAGTAATAGCGCAAGATACATACCTAACTACCATTGCCGGGATCCATCCGCGCAGATGCGAGATGGCCAGATTCCGTCAGGCGAGATGGGAGTTGGCCAGTATTAGGCGGTGCTTGCGGTTTCCGGAAGGGGCAGGCCAGTTTCGGGCGCCGTGGCCATGCGAGACCATGGTTTGCTAGTTTTGCTGATGGACGTCGTTCGCAACGCGACCTGCGCAAGCAGCTGCCGTCCACGGCCAGTTTGGAACTGTTATTCCGTCATGTTCGAATCTGCATTCATCGCTCCCTGTAGAACTCCAGGGAAAGCTTCTTACTTGGTCCTTCTTTCCGAGGTGATGAGGTCATCACCATTCAGTGTGATCTGCGTTTATCCGGTTTTACTTACCACTGCGCACCCGATGCTAGATGCAAGGTCGTGCGTAACACTATGCATATCCGCAACACCGCCGCTGTGTAGCTAGTCGACTTCCACTACCTCTGCTGTTGGGGAAGCGACTAGAAGCCAGTTATGTATCCCCCCGGCTCCTGTCGTTGCTATCGAAAATCTGCTTCTCCTTCAATCAAGCCGCCACCCTGACTATCCTCGGCATGTAACAGCTCCGCGATTCCAAAAGATGGCAGCCTGAAATGCTGCTAACTGAGTTATCCTATTTCTTGTCATCGACGCCGCAGTTCGACTGGCTGACCGTACTTACTGCCCGCCAGAAGCGTCTCATCTTGAGTCTCCCTGCAATATCTTTGAGGCCATCTCAGACTCTCGCCTTCTGGTCCTCGACATCACGACTCTGGCGGACATACCATCTCCGTGCCCCGACCTTGTCCGAGTCATCAGTCATGAACTTCTCTGTTCATCTGCTTCGATGTCCCAGCGCTCTCTTCAGCTCTTCTGTTGCCGGTTCGGGCGCGCCGACATGTCGCACCTGCCGCTGCCTATTCGGGAGCATTTTGTTGGCCAGACGCGACCGATTCTCGAGCTCGCTGCAGAGCCAGATCTCACAGCCTCTCCTGCGTCCGCTGCCTCCGCTGCCTCCGGCCTTTCCATGCTACCCGACCTCCGACCCGTCCGGGGACTGCACTGACGTGCACCGATTGTGGTCAGTTGCGTCGTTCAGAGCGAACGAGTCCGGCGCCATGCAGGGAGCCAACTTCGAGACATTCGTCCTCACGAACAGCACCCTCAGCGCCTGTTTTAACAGCAACGTCGCTTGGCGTGCCCTGCGGTCAGGGTAGTGTCCCCGTTGTCGGCGTCGACATTCAGAGCTCAGACAGCTGTCGAGTTCGCAGCAGCACACAACCTCCGCGTGGTTTTGAAGGGTACCGAATGAGCGGTAGACGATCCCCTCGCCTGAGCGCCCCTTCTACATTCCTCGTCCATCTTCTTGATGGTGCTCATGATGTGCTAACAGGCATCATCTATCTGGACGAAGCACGGCTCGGGGTTCCTTCCTTATCTGGACGCACAATCTCAAATGCATCACATTTCACGAAACCTTCAGACTTACAGGCGCACCCACGTCGGAGACACATGACAACGGTCAGGCGCGACCCTGCGTTATACGGTCCAGTGTATGCTTACGGTATTTTTCCGTAGCTGTTGCGCTAGGCGCTGACGTTCAATGGGAAGAAGCATACAATGCCGTCAACGCGAAAGATCGGGTCGTGGTCGGGGATGTTTCTGCCGGAGGCACCGTTGGCGCCGCAAGCGGCTGGATAATTCACAGTGCATCGTCTCCGACGTTTGGACTGCGTCCACTCCGACTATCCGATTAATGCGGGGTCTCCCGCGCCAGTCACGGAATTGACAGGCGTGGACAATGTGTTGCAGTTTGCGATGATCAGCTCAAACAGAGTGTTTACAATTGCACGCAACTGGCTACGTAGCCACGAATGCACGCAGTCGCGCGTTCGTTTTCGCAGTTACAACACAAGCGTGCAGTCGTGTAATCGCGGAGTCGGGTAAGCGACGCCAAGTATCCTATTCTTAGCTCTTAGTGGCCCCTGCAACAAAGCTCTTTCCTTGCGCAATGTAGATCGACCATAATTCAAATGTTCTCTACCATTAATCCAGTTCTCAATGCGCGCAAAACGAGTCTACTCAAGGGCTTTGCAGGATGTATAGACTTTGGCCTTGCCCTTCGCCGAACTCCTGCCGGAGGGCGCTCCAGTTACAACTTACAATAGACGCGCAGTTACACGACTGCTAGTAGTAACTGCGTGGCTGCATACACACAGAGCTTGGCGAGCTTCGCAATGAATCGACTGCGTGAATACGTGGTTACGCAGCCTGCTACGTAGCCAGTTGCGTGCAATTGTAAACACTCTGGCTCGAACGGGACAAACTTCGTCGCTAACCTCTTCTTCGCTCTCAGAGGCGGAGGCGGGGGCACGTATGGCGTCATCATCTCGGTCACCGTACCAGAGACATGAAGACGTCCCGACCGTGGATGCTTTGTTCCGGGCGTCGACGAACTTAATGCCTCGCCGACCACTCCTGTGCAAAGCTTGTTGACTAAACTGGTGAGGGTACATCCCCAGCTATCAGATGACGACCGGGCGGATTTCGTGTCGCTCCAGCCCGATGTGACAACCGTAGGGCTGGGTCTTTCGCCCACCGTATGAGCGCGGATGAACAGCACCGTGGACGCAGCGAACGCAAGCATTGAACCATTCTGCGCCACCGCGCAGACAATTGCGCCGAACAGCTTCGGCGCCGTTACGTTCACCACCGCGCAAACCGTTCTCATTCAACTTCTTGGCCTGGTTCACGGCCTTCTTCCCGGCAGCTACGGTTACCGCAGGCATGAACTGCGTGGGCGGCCCCTTGCCCCGCGATGTCATTCCGGGCCAGCCAGAGCACGTCGCAGAGACGCTAGTGGTCTCGTCATGCTGTGAGCCTCCAAACCGGAATCTTACTTTCGTCCTAGACTCGATCGTTGATCGTTCACGCATTCTATTTTCCGTGCGCCATAGCTGGTTGGCGGTGGCGCTGTCTAAAGTGGATCCCGATGCGATGGGATGAACTCCGCCTGGCGCACGGCTCTTGTGCATGCGATCTTCTCCAAAGGCTGGGTAGAATGCACCCCAGTTGATGTCATAAACCATATGATGGACGAGCTTCGTCGAGGCTAACATGTCCGGCGTCCGGCGCTTACTTCAACGAGGTGCGGTGGGGCAACCCGTGTTCTCATTGTACATACTCGCACTAACTTTGTTTGTCAACTACCATTCGCCAGGCTTCTCTGGTCGAGTCTGAGCCCCTCCAGGCTTTCTTCTGCAACCACCGCGATCGGCGGAGGGAGATCAAGGCGATCTATGACCCTATCGACATGTTTGTGGTTCGGGAAGGCATAAGTAGGTTCGGATGAGTGGACGCGGACCTCGTGCAGGGTCTACATTGGAGCTGGCCCAATGCGGAGATAGGGGTGTCACCCAATGATTGTGTACCATGGCGCTGTGGTATGCCGTATAAGAACAGACGAGGGTATGCTACGTATGTACCGCCTAGACAATACCCAGACGAGCGTAGACAGCATTGTACTTGGAGCCTACCATGAGGCGCGGCCTCGCAGGGCAATAGACGTGGGCTGGAAAGGAAAGGGAAAGGAAAGGGTATGCTGTGATACGGTCAACACAACAGTGGATTGCGACGTTCGACGAACATAAGCAGACATTCGAGCACTACGCTACAAAACTACAGATGACGTACGCGATGTTACTAAGGGACTGCGACAACGAACTGGAACGAAGAGTAAGTGACATAGGTATAGCGAGGATGTCATGATTCGAAAAAGACGCACGAAAACCGTGTTAGTCTGGGAATCGAGGAAGATAACGGGAGAAGGGAGCGAGCGTGACGGAGAGCGATACGGAGATGGCAGAAACGGAGATCGGAAGGAGGGGACACGGACCATAGCTAGCCTATGATCGAAGCGGAGCAGGATAAGAATCAGAAAGACGAGAAAATTGGACTACAGGCGTGCTGGGATGTGAGAGGGGAGGGGGTACGCTGTGGCTGCACTGTCCATGCACGAAAGCAGATGCGGGCGGGGAAAGTGGGTGTTTGTGCGTATAGGGTAGGACAGGATAGAGGAGATATGGACATGCAATATCAACAATAGACAGAGAACCAATACTATGACTGACTGTATCAATACAGGAAAGTGAGAACGCGCTGCTCAGCTATCATCATCATTATCTAGGGTCGGTACTCTTATTGACTAGTTCACGCCCGGTATCCGGGGCTCGGTGCGTTAAGAATAGATAGTAACTGAGCATTGTTGGTGGCTCTGATGGCATTATTATGAGCTACAATGAGCAGATTTAGCGAAAAACATCCGCGCAGAATCATGCGTGTACTCACCGATATGAGGTGCAGCATAGTGGGGAGGAGGGACAGTGCGCAAAGGACTGGTCGGCGCCTGGAGCAATGCAGGATACATCGGCGGAGGCGCGAAGGATGATGCCGAGCCGTGGCACGGACCGCTCAATGGCAGCATGGCACGTAGCTGATGCTCGTTCATGCTCTGTCGAGGAATGGCCGCAGGAACGAAGGGAGGGAGGTGATAGGCATGACTGGTCTGGGGACGGTTCATGAACACATCTGGAGCTTGCCCCCGGTACGCGGAATGCAGGTCTTGCGAGCGGGGCATGTGTGGTGTGGGAGAGGAATAAATGACCGACTGGTCGATGGTGGGTGGCGGCACGGAGGGAGGCTGAAGAGGTACGTAGGCAGGCTGGGATGGCGCCGCCATAGGGGAGCGATGACCCATACGAGAAGTAGCCCTATCCGACTCTTGAGCCACGCTTTCCAGTATAGAGATGTACCGCATCTCCTTGGCTATGTTGCGACTATGCGAGAGGTAAGGAGAAATGTCTGCCGTCGAACCACGACGCGCATGGCCGCCGCCTACCGTGCCAAGAGAAGGTGATGTCGCGGACGATGTACCAGAAGAGCTACTTTGCAAGGGGGTGCGCCCGGGAGACTGTGGAGGTGGGATAGCTGCAGAGACGGTCGAGGGCAGCTGTACAATGGGTGCAGACATTTTGGCCGGCGCGTGAGCAGACCAATCCGGGCTCTCGCAAGGCTGAGCGGGTAGAGCTTGACGATGAGAAGCCGGGACTGGCACGGGTAACACCTCAACTGGCGGAGTCTGAGGCTTGCCCGTATCGTCCAATGTAACGGATGCGGCAGACCGCATCAGTCCACTAAGAAGAACGGCCAGATGGGAGTCTCCCGTATTGAGGGGGATGGGGTCGGCCTGTCGAGCAGGGTCGGGCGTGGCGGTGCTAATGCTTGACTCGAAAGTCGAGTCATGAACGCGAGCAGCACTGTACTGGGGGGAAGGCGTGTGGGGTTCTGCAGACGATGCTTGAGAGCTTAGCTCTTGAGCGTTCTGATCCTGCGCGGCTGCACCATCCTCCTCGCTAGAAGATTGAATTTCTTCCTTAACATTTTGTACAGGGGGTTTGGGTATTTTGCGCGGGAGATGATGGGGCTTGCGGTCATGAATGAAGGCTTTGAGAGGACTATGGAGAGATGAGCAGCCGGGAGGTGCCAATGATTCCACAGACATACCCGATGAATGGCGAGATGAGATAGAACTTGCCAGGCACAGTTCTGCCGCGCTTCCAAGTCGGGAGCTCGCTCAATCGGAACCAAGAGATTTTCTAATCGGGCCCTCAGATTAGTGTTTTCGAACACATCATCAACCACACCCACGCTGATCTCCTTCCTCGTCCTTGTCTTGAAGGGGTAGTCTTCCGGCACTCCAGGGACTATGTACAGAGAGATCGACTGCTCCTTAATGGACATCTGCAGGACATTGTCGGGGTCTAGTTGCTCCTCTAGGTCATATCCAGTTTCTTCGAGCACCTACAGGTACGCCGGAATGAGGGGTGGTGCACTATGGAGCGCACAATAGGAGGGTCTCACCTCGCGAATGGCACAACGATGCTTCGGTTCCTGCTCATTGATCTTGCCTTTCGGGAAGCCCCATCCTGCTGACGATTTCCAGCCCTTGACGAGCACGACCTGCGGTAAGGGGGACATTCCTTACGTAAGCGAGAGATTCTGTGGTATTGTGCTGCGACCAACCTTATCCCAGGTGTCGTTGAGCATGATTGCGCCGCACACTGGCACGCGAGTCTTGTACTTCATGAATTGTTCAAAGGAGCGGTCGTGATCTTCTGCCCAGTGTGCGAGAAGAGGGCATGCGCGGAACAGAGCTTCGGAAAATGTCTTGAGTGTGTAGGATGGGAACTTGGATGGGTTCTGCTCTCGAATGAAGTCTTCGTAGTACCAATGACTGTGGTTTGTGGTGTCAACTGAGTTCCGAGGATGGATGGGCTGGTCTACTGACGCTTGTTCCACCTGGAAGCAAACTCTCTCGACCGACGCGAGCTCCTCTTCAGGGAGGTTGAGGATGAAACGACTAAAGGCGTTCAACATATTGGTTGAGGAGAGGATTTGTGGTGAAAGACGCACCTGGACAGGTCCTCGAGGACCTCATCTCTACTGAGATCAGAATACTGAACAGTCGCATACGCGTGTTCGTGGGATGATGACGCTTGTGCGGCTGCATAGAGCTCTGGCGATGATGAAGATGATGAGGCCATGTTGAGTGGCAAAGGGGGGAGGAGGGAGAAAAGGCGATAGAATGGAAGGAATTGGGTCAGAGCGCGAGAGTGTGGGCAGAGACTGTGGTAGTTGGTGGCTGGAGAACGAACGCCTGCCGAGCCAGGGCAATTGGCTCCCTTGGCGCCGCCACAATCGAAACAAGGACAAATCTTCTGCTCCGTCTCGTGGCCCAGTACTCGTCTGGCCCTGACATCTGCCCGAGCCTGTTCAGGTTCTGGCGCAGCAGCTTCGATCGAAGCTTGCCATCTCCGTCCTTTCGTTCAGGCTTGCGTTCGGTACTCCAATTGTCGTCTCACCTTCTATCTCTGTGCGCGTCCGACATGGCTTTCAACCTTTCAGTCAACCCCACGGCTGCCCAAGCCATGGGAATTGGCGACGGTGTCGCGCTCAACAACGAAGCGTTGCGTCTCGAGAGCCAGGGTGACCTCGCTGGTGCAGAGCACAAGCACCTTGAGGCCATAAGTGTCAAAGAGGCTGGTCTTGGCACTGACCATTCTACGACTGCCGTGTCCTACAATGGCCTGGGTGAGCTCTATCTCAAGATGGAACGGCGTGACAAAGCGGAAGAGTATCTCACTAAAGCCCTGCGCGTCCGCGAGCATTGCGGTCCTGCTGCTGACCTGGCAGTCACCCGCGACAACTTGGGTAAGCTGTATGAGATGAAGGATGACCTGCAGGCAGCACAGGACATTCGCCTTGAGGGCGCGCCAGACAACATTGCATGCGGCAACTACAACGTGAGTGCTCGTGTCTTCCTTAGGTTTCGCCTTCGTTTAATCCTTCCCCCTCCAGTGTCTCAAGCTTCAGAATCTCCTGAGTAGCTTATCGAAGTGTTCGGCTTGCAAGGTATGCTTCCGAGCATGCCGCGTAGAATTCTTCAGTCTGCTCACTTACCTTTCAGGCCATCCTGTATTGCTCTCAAGCCTGTCAAGTCAGTTCCGTCTTCGGTACATCCCTTCTAAAGTGGCTCTTACCATCGTGTTTCCACACAGAAAGCCGACTGGAAACGGCACAAGAAGTATTGCCGGCGCAGGTAGAGGTTTGATCGCAGCAGACTGGTTCTTGGAAGGTAAGTATATCACTCCGCGTTACAACCGGTCGGGAAGCTGAGCTCTTGTCTTGCAGGCTACCCTCCATCACGAGGAATGGTTGAGGCGATTTTTGTCTCCTTTGTGTCCTATAGACCAAATGGGGCTCGGGTACCGTTGTACGAGAATTCTCCGTTACCAAGCACTTTCCTTGCCCCGGACTTTTAGCAACATTGGACTTGAATAGGCGCAATAGCTCCACGTCTACAAGGTGCAATCTTTGCCCCAGTCAGGATAGGTAGCTCACCATCGTGACGATTGAATCAGTTCCGTCTCGTCGACCAAGTGGTCAACCGCCGTAGCTGACGATAGCTTCAACCAGTCGTCTGTGGTAAGCGTTCGCAGCCACTATAAAGTGCGCACTCACTCTGGTTTCCCACGCCCTTCAGCCACACCACTGGAGCCTCCGCATTGCTTTGTGCACCATCCATGATGGACAGTGGTGAACCGAACGTCGCCATCGCCTTGAACATCAGCGAGGGCGCGAAGTTCATAGACCATGTGTACCTGAACCAGAGGTTTGGCGATTTGAAGCGGGCCGAGCGAGCATATGGGGTCCATCCAGACCCGGGAGCAAGGCCCCGGGAAAGACTACTACCTCACCGTGATTCCTACAATGCGCTTGGGAACCTCTATGTGGCGAGGGGGAGGCGTAGGGGCGCCTCAACAAAGCGTTGGTTATCTGTGTCATGAACAGTCTGTTGGCTGATCTCGCTGTCGCCCGAGACAATTTGTTGGGAATTATCCAGATGAATGGCAGCCTGCGGGCGGCGGATATCCGTCGCAAGATAGCCCAGATAATGTTGCTTGCAGCAACTGGCGCAAGTACCTCACCTTTCGTTTCGCATTCGCCACTCATTACTGTCAGTGCACCAAGTATACGAACAGTCTAGCGCGATTGTGGCAATGCATCGACTACGAGATACGTACCACGTTGATACTGCGCCGTAGAGATCAGTGTCCGAAAGCGACTTGGACAGGCCACGCGTTACTGAACATTGCGCTCGTACTCACTCCGTTCAGGACGCCGACTGAACAAGGCGCAACCAATGCTGCCGTCCCAATGGTTGCGCGCAGTTATCGGCCCCTACCAGTGAGACTGGTGCTTGTTTTCGATTCTTTCGCACTTAATCTGATATCGCTTTGCGTTGTAGAACTTCAATCTCTGTCCATCGCGAAGGCGGCGCTTTGGGGGTGCTGACGGGAGGGTCTGTAGTGCGGGCTGTGATAGTTTCGCTTGCTCGAACACCACCCCTGTGGGGTGTCTGCTTCAACCTGTAGCGAGTCATGACTCACCTGTATTCATGGATCTGGAGTTGGGCTGAGCGACGCGTGGAAGCAGTGGATATCCCAGTGGCTGGTCAGGAAGTCGTGGGCGAGGAACCTCAGCCACAGCGCGGCGCGGCGCGTCGTGCCGCGTTTGTTGCAAAAACCACGTGCGCGCGGCGTCATGGGCGCTTCATGGATATAGGACCGGCGCCCACTGTGTGGCAGACGGAAGCGCCGCAGACTCGGAGAACACATGCATACTATCATAGTGAGGACGTAGAGGCGACTCTTCTGCTTGTGTTCAGGGCTATGCATGCACTCAACAGCGCTGTCTGCTTTGCGCTATACCCACGGCTATGTAGATGACCTCACGACGACCTGCACGTCGCGTCGACGATCTCCTGTTCAGGAACATAGTGGACAGCACGGACCGGATATAAATACGACACTAGCATCCCGAACTCAACAGATAAAGTGAAACGCAGTGCGCCCTGTTGACGTCTCTTCCGCGCTCTTCTCGATACTCCAGTCTACCAAATAGATCTCTATGAGTGGCAGCGGAGTGCAAGATACAGGACTTGTGCGCCGTCCACCCGTGCATCCGTCACGGTCGTCCGCATCAGTGTCGCCTTCAAGCTCCTCTGCCAATGTAGCGTTACGCCCCCCCATCCACCCCTCGCGCTCGTCTGTGAACAGTTCTGTTGGTAGCTCCAGTCCGAGCGCTCTGCCTGCTCCGCCGCCATACGCCAGCCCTAACTTATCGCCTGCACCCCCTCCAACCGCACCCAGACTAAGCCCAAAGGCACCCCCAACCCAGCTACCTCCCAGAGACTTCCGTCCAGAGTCGTCTTCCTCCCACCTTCCTCCTGCCAGTCCTGTCACCCAAGCGACACCGTCTCTGCCTCCCCGGCCGAGCGCACCAGCTGCAGCTGCCGTATCTTCGCCACCGCTTTCATCTTTCACGGCTTCAGAGGAAGATTCGGGGTCCGAATCGGACTCGGAGAGCGGTGCCGCTACACCCACACCAGAGCTCGGGGGAGGGCCGTCCACAGACACCCTTGGGACTCCGATAGAGTCTAAGGACGAAGAAGAGCTGTCCGAGATCCAGCTGCGTGAGCTGTACGATGACGAGGAAATCGACAGGTTCCTGAACCTGTTTTCTTCGGTGAGTCTTCAGCTTGTATGCGCAATCTTGCCAGCATCTCAAGCTGCCATAGTATGTCCGGGAAGTACGAGCAACGCAGCCGGCGGGTGCTGGACCCGGCCGTGGCGGGGAGCCTGCGTCCGCAAGTGCTCCTGATATCACGGAGCACGGTCCTTCAGTCCCGTCTCCCTCCACAGCGAGCCTGGCACCGCCCACGAAGATTAATTGGGACAGACCAATTTCAGAAGCGATCGCAATGGTAAGTGCGTCCGCGCAATGGCAAGTCCCATGCTGAACCAGTGTGGCGTCAGGAACTCGTCGTTCCCTTATTGCCTCCTCCCCGTGCCCCCCTTCCAAATTTCTCTATAGGACGATTGAGGCAGACGGCACAGCGACTCTATGTGGCGCTCGAGCCGATGTACACTCGGCTTGGCGTGCCGTTGCTCAGGCTCGCAACGTGGACGGACCCCAGGCAAAGCTTCGTGTACTGCGCTGTGTGTATCCTCAACTCGGTCGCCCGGATCGTATTCTAACTAACTCCTCTTCAGCTCTACTGGATACTGTGGTACCATGGCTTGCTACTGTCTGCTTTCGCTCTGGGCGTCCTATACGAGCTCGTGCGCAGGAAGCTCCATCCTTATCCCAGTCTAGCCGAGCTTCGGGAGCATCGGCGTAGCATCGACCGATCACAGGCCGTCGGCCGTCTGCTCGCTACCCGCTTGGCGAATGCACCCTCTTTGGGTGTTCGAGACGTCTGGGACATCTTCGGGGACTACAGACATCTACGGAAGCTGAAGAAGGCGAAGAGGGAGGCTGCTGGAAAGATTGGACCAGACGCCACTGAGGAGCTTGTCAGCGGGGATGACACTTCCACCATCCGTAGCGCATCCCTCAGCACTGGCGATTTGCCTCAACCCCAAGACGGTTCAGCACAAGAAGCGCAGGAGGATGCGGATCTGAAACGTCTCGGTCTCTTCGTCATGAACGAGACCGCCGACTTCCTGGAGCGTATCAAGAAGTACGTGTGCTCTGACTCCCCGGACGACGTCTAGTTAACTATCGTTCAGCATCTTCCTGTGGCGCGAGCCGACAGCTTCGGTTATCTATGGCACGGTACGCATCAGATCGAAATAGGAATGTGCGTGGGCGGCCGGCTGCTGACCGGCCTCCGCAGGTCATCCTAGGGTGGTTCCTGTTTGGCTTCTTGCCCGCACGGTATCTCGTGAAACTTGTGGGAGCCGTCGTAGGGGGAGTCTTCTGGCATGTCATACCTGTCGCGGTGGCGATCCCACCTTCTGAGAGGAATCGGTACGTTTTGCTCCAGCAGAAGACTGCAGACGCACACCCTGACTTGATTCTAGCTTCCCGTCGCCGCTGTCGATCGTCCCCACCGACACTGAATACGCCATGGAGCTCATCTCGCAACGCGTGGCTCGGGGGCTGCCTGTCAAAGCGAGGCGGAAGAGATTCGGAAGGCAATCTTCCAAGTCGAGCCTGTTCGAGGCCGAAAGCGCCCTGGGACATGGAAGCAGCTCGTCCGTCGACTGGAAGAAGGTCGGCGAGCGGATCGCGACGACGAAGGAGATGGCAGGCGACCTGAAGGGCATCTTCCGCGATGGACAGGCGAGTGCATCGCGCGCAGCCTTGCTCGGTCTGATGATGCATGCTGAACACGTCTCGCGCAGTGGAAGAAGGCAGACAGCTGGAAGGCGCTTAACCCGCTGGCGTCCAAGACGGTAGCGACGCATGGCGGGCTCGAGCCGTGCATCGAGACGCAAAGTACGTCCACGGGGTCTTCTGCAGCTGTGCCGCATACGCGTTTCGGGCCGTTGAAACGAGGTTGATTCGCAGCGTTCCCCGCAACGACGAGAGCACATGGGCCGGGTTTGATCACCCTGACATCGACAACGCTCTTCTTCACTCCTTTGTTATCGTCCCATCCCGTGCTGACGATTGAGCTGGCCAACGTCAGCGGCGTAAAGAAGACGAAGCTGACGAAGGGGCTCGATATCCGCTACTCGTACCAGTCCGAGTCCGGGCGGACAGAAGACAAGGAGGCGTCATTCCAGCTGGTCGGTGCCCGCAGCGAGCTGTTCGCCCGTCTGGTGGGCTCAGGAGGGAAGAAGTGGGCGAAGGTGTAGGCGGAGTGTGGATTGTCTTGCTGTCGTGGTAAGAAGAAACTTGCGGCTTCTAGGACGCGTGCTGAAGGTGTCTGGTTTGGCAGCTCGCGTTGACATGTTGTGTGCTTCTGTTGTACTTGACATGATGTACATCTAGGACTTTTCCCGATGACGCAACGAATCAATCAAGGAGAGCGACGAGTCCGGCGGTGACGGCCGGGCCGAGGCGTGGCGTGCTGCAGCGACCATTCTACTCGGAAGCGGCCCAGCTGCAGTAGTCATTACACTGGGACGCAGACCTTCTCTTGCGCTGTCTTGTCCTCTATCCGTCATGTTCTTCTCAACTGACCTCTTGGAGCGGAGGGATAGCGGCTATGGTCTTTTGTGGTACGTGCATCGTGCAGCTCCAGCGTTCCGGGAAGCCTGTCGACCCCTCTTGGTGAAGGCTCGCAGCAACCCTAGGAGCAAAGTCGTCCTTCAAGAAATTGCCCAAGCGTTCCGTCTTGACTGCGGACATATCCCAGCTATGCGGCCTCATTGCCCAACCGCCCGAGCCTCTTGCATTGAGGCTTTCGAGCAACCTGATGGTTGGTGCCGCTAGGTATGCTCTCGACGCTTGCGTTTGATTCCCGAGGCAGCGCTCACGCACGCATATATCAGGGTCTACAAAGGTAGACAAGACCTGCGGCTGTTTCCATTAGGCTGACCGCTGCATGTGGCCGCAGTCAAACAAGAGATCTTCCTGACCGATGTGACGTCGTGTTTCAATGCGTTGAAGAAAGCCGTACAGGATTTCGCGACATTGTCTGCTGCCGCAGCAGAGCTTCAGATGGGCCAACCGAGCTTGCGGTACGCTACATGCCCTTGGATTGGGTGCTTGACTCAGTGACGTTTCACATGCAGTCCGGAAGCCTTGACTCTGGTTGCAGATCCAGGAGCTGCCTTTGGCATAGCCTTCGAAAACGTGTTCGCAGTACGTTATTTCAGTGCATTCCCCCCCAAACACCCATGTATCCTCATCTTATGTAACCTTAGGCGTGGGATGAGCGCACACAAGAAGGTACGACAGTTACCCAAGCATTTCAACTACATCATGACACGCGATGTAGATGAGGACGGCGAAGAAGGTTCGGATGATGAATTCGACCCTAAGTCGAAGAAGCCCAAGTCGAAAGGCAAGCAGAAGCAGAAGGACGCGTCGACCTTGGTAACAGCGGAGCATCCCAGGGCGCTGCATACTCTTGAGGAGAATCACAATTACCTTTTGGCCGCCGCGCTTGAGGCGTCACTGAGCGGCAGCGTCCGGGGAGGGACGGGCATTGATGCTTCCTCTTCTGCAGTGGACGGCCAGTTCGGATTTGACGACAGCGTGTTCGCATTCCCCGAGAATGCTGGTGGTCTGGATATCGGCGATGAACTCGCCCGTGAGCTGGGGGAAGGTTGGGGGGTCCCTGTGTCGGCTTCCGGGGCAAAGTACGTGTGCCCACTTGAGATTTGGACGCCCTGATGGATATCCCTAACCTGACCCCTGCAATGAAGCCAACGTCTCCAAGGCGAGGATGGTTATCTAGATCCGTTCGGTACAAATGTGCAGCACGGTCTAGGAGACGACTTCCAGTTCGACATCGACCAGAATCTCGATATGCAAGTACCCGATCCCCGAAGTGCGTGATGACTGCCATCTTGGTGTGACTCCTATGCTAAACTATGAAACAGGCAGCTTGCCACCGTCCGGTTCTGTGATTATTGACATGGCAACTTTCAGCCCGCGAGCCTCAGAGGCTAACATAGACCAAGCAATTACGATGGCTCCTGGAGAATGCGAGCCTAGAAAGCCTGTGCAACGCAAGGCAAAGCGCGTCAGATTGCTTCTAGATACCCGAACTGAGCTTACCGATGATGAACTAAAGGTAAGACCACCGTGTTTCGTTCCCTACCTTGTAACGAACTCGAGCAGAGTGCTCGCGCGAATTATGTGGAAGACCAAGAAGCTCTGAAGCGGGAAATTGCACAGAAGAAAGCAGAAAAGGATAACAGCGGGGTCATAGAAGAAATGATCTATGGCGTACCTAAAGGAAGTGAGTGCAAGTGCGGCGGCCACGCAATGCAACTCATGAGTCATCTTTGCCAGTCGAGGCACCCTTGCTGGTCGACTTCTGGCTCGCAAACTTCAAGTTGCACGTAAGAGCCCACTCTGGACGGCTTCATCTAGAGATGGAAGGTAAGCCAAGCTCATGCGGTGTTTTGGCTCCTGCAGTTGTAATCGTGCGCAGGTGAGCCACCGAGGAAACGACAAAGAGTCCAAGATCTGGATGCACAACCCTTCTTTGCGGGATTGGGTCGAGACGCGTCTTCGCCTCGGATCGATGACTATCAGATGGACGTTGACTGGAGCATGGGGATAGAGGACTTTGGTGAGCTTTGGTGAATGCAATCGTGCGATAGGCTCACCTTCTCCTAGCCCACGCTGGCGACGATAGGAATCTAGACTCCAGATTGCGTTCCTCGGAGGTTAGTGTCTATTTACACACAGAGGATTACATACTGAACTACGCTCTACAGGAACCTGGTCAAGCCCGTCATGCGTCGCGGCCGCCGTCTGCTCTGGGTAGTCACTTGGCCTTCGATCTGGGTCCTACACAGGACGTGATTTCGGGCTCACAGCGTAGCGCTTTCTTCCCTTGGGACCATGCTGGGCCAAGCTCCTCTGCAGGCGGTGCACCTTTCTCCGTCTATGGAAGTGACGGGTTGAGTGGTCTTCGTCCCGGTAGGAAGCGAGTCAGTTCGGCCAGCAGCAGACGGGAGAGTCTTCTCCTTCCTCCGGGTGGTAACACTGTCCCTCCCTCTCCGATGGACCTGGGCTTGAGGAGCTCTCAGATAGGCGAAGACTTCCAATTTAACAGTAGGATACTCACTCAAGACCTTCTCTGAATGTTTGCTGATATGTCACAGTTCCGGAGGAAACGCAAGAAGAGTCGCAGCAGTCAACCGTCCTGACCCTTGAAAAGAACTCCTTCAACTTCCTAGAGTAAGTGGCCTTATCAATTCGAATCATATGTGTGCACTCTTCCAACGAATTGCGACAGGTACGCTAAGATGCAGCTGAGGGCGTTCCCCTCAGCAACGGCCGAGGTTAGCTTCGACGACGTTGTGCCGAAAGCGACCAGTACGCGCCGCGTCGCCGCCGCGGCGTTCTATCACTGCCTTGGTAGGTGGTCGATGGACAACAACGTAGCGAGCAACGAGATTGACTTGTTGTACAGTGCTCTCGACGAAGGATCTCGTGAGTGTAAGCCAAGATGAGCCGTACGCCGTTTTGAAGATTAGAGTGAAGTGATCGGACGACGCCTTGCGATCAGATCTGTCTGATTCGGACCACTCGCATGTCCCGGATTTGCTGTATTTCTATGTGCGCCGAGATGGCTTCGTATACAATGTTCAATGTACTGTTGCACGATAAATGTCTCATGTACAAGAATGAGGGATTGGCTGAGCTGTGGCAGCTTATGTAAGCACGAATAAGAAAACTGGGACGAGGAAGGGAGTGGGGTGGGTGATGGTTGTTGCCGATGGCTATCGAGTCGGACCACGCTCGTTCCTACCCCGCGCCAACAATACTTTATGAGCCTCCGTGTGGCTTCATTCCTTCCCACCGCCCTCCGTCCTAGACTCGTCCGACCGCCTCTCTCATACACCTTCCCCCGTACAATGACCTCGCGCGCTGTCGAAGCTTCCCGAGCTGTCCTCAAGTCAATCGACCTTTCCGCCGGCTACGATGCAGAGCAGACGCGACTTATGGAGGAGAGATGTATCCTGGTAGACGAGGAGGACAACGCGCTCGGTGCAGCAGACAAGAAGACGTGTGCGTAATCCATCATCCTCATTCTTGTAGCAGAGTATCCGCTAACGTCCGTTCAGGCCACCTGATGGAGAATATCAACAAGGGCCTGCTCCATCGCGCGTTCTCCGCGTTCGTCTTCCGTCCGAGCGACGGCAAGCTGCTGCTCCAGCAGCGCGCGACGGAGAAGATCACGTTCCCGGACATGTGGACCAACACATGCTGCTCGCACCCGCTCGACGACTTCGAGGAAGAGAAGGAAGAGAAGGACCAGCGCGGCGTCCGCGTCGCCGCCTCCCGGAAGCTCGAGCACGAGCTCGGCATCCCGCGCAGCCAGACCCCCGTCGACGAGTTCCACTACCTGACGCGGATACACTACCTCGCGCCGTCGAACGGCCTCTGGGGCGAACACGAAGGTACGTCGCACCACTTTCACTCCGTTGCGCTCTTGCGCCGCAGCGGTGGCGGCGCGGAGTCGTACGAGATGCTGGAAGCGGTGTTTGAGGTGGCGTGAGCTCACTCGAGCGCCATCGCTCTCTTCTCTGCAGTGGACTACATCCTCTTCTTAACCGCGGACGTCACCGTCACGCCGAATCTGAACGAGATCCGGGATCACAAGTATGTGGACAAGGCCGAGCTGCAGGCCATGTTCGAGGATCCTGGTGAGTCTCCGTAGCCCGCATTTCGTCTCGGTGCGTGCTCTGACAGCCCGTCCGTCTCTAGCGAACTCCTTCACGCCTTGGTTCAAGCTCATCGCCCGCGACTTCCTCTTCGGGTGGTGGGACGAGCTCCTGGCGCGCAAGACTGCCGACGGCCAGGTTTACGCGAAGAGCCTCGCAGGTCTCGTCGATGGCAGCAAGGTCGTGAAGATGGTTTGAGATCTGAGATTAAGGTGCGAGGAGTGTCATGCAGCGAGTTGTCAACCTTGGTGATTTGGGGGCTCGACGCATGAGTCGGCGTGTATATCTAATAGATTAGACGAATGCGAGGTCTTGGTTTTTGTTATGACAACGTTTGGGCAACTAGCAGATGATATATAATGTGCAAGCTTCAAGGAAAGCGACTAGCGAGATTGACCGCATCGTAGGAAAAGTAGAGTGAAAGGACTAGCAGGAAACGATTGGTGAAACCCGTAACTGACCGTTACTGCTTCAGGCAGATTGAGAGATGTGGAAAGCCTTAGGCAGAGCTTGTTTTAGGTTCCACAGAAACGACCGCACACCCTTGAACGCATCAAGCATCCGGACATCGCTCGGATGATCGAGGACGACCGGGCTATCAAATGCACTGCGAAGGATGCTGTTGACATGCAACAAACCTCCCGCAACAAGTAAAGCGAGGAGGATGGCCGGACTGCGGATGATCAGTCCATAAATGTCCACCACAGCACTAAGGATGTGGGCAGCAAGGAACATCATGGACCAAGCCACCAGGGCACGAGGCAAGCAATAGGCCTGTGCGATAGGTTCGTAACCTAATCTCGGAAGCTGGACGCGTGCGAGGTGGTTTGCCTGCGCGAAAGGCCGTTAGAAGGGCTGAAAGGCTGAACAGCGCAGGCGAGGAGGACTCGCCACTGTGCCGGCGGTGAACTTGTCCGCTCCGGCGTACCACTGCAGGAGCACGGCACTGGTGGCCAGCCCGCTCAGGGAAAGGACGATTGATATGGATCCCATGGCTGCCGATATGGGGTTGGTTCTTTGCACTGTCGAGACCGTGCCGATCCTGGAAACGCACGGACAGTATAGTGAGATGATGGTCAATGAAGCCAAATAAGAACAATCGCGTATAGCTTACAGAGCCAGACCGACCGCCTGTGTCGGAAAGGGACTCCATCAGGGGGCGTGCGCTCCAAGAGCTGAGGCGATACTGTTCGACATACCAGGTAAGAAGACTCCCGCCACCCATGCAACAAGTCAATTGCGAAGTCGCGCCAGTGCATCACATACGTGAGGTCATCCAACGAGAGGAGGTCCATTTGGGCCGAACGCTCCCTCGGCATATTGAAGAGCAAAGCAGAGCACAACTTCACCGCGAGTGTGCGCTGCTTGGCCGGCCTGTCGTATCGCTTTTGTTCCCGTGAAATCTTAGCGTAGTCCTCGCCAAAGAAAGTGCTAAACTTGTGCCTTGCTTTGAGCAGTCGAACGACCCACTCAGTCAACCTGGACGGCACGCAGTATGGCCTATATACTCACAAATTGTCCCCCAAAGCCGTGCTACCCTGAAGTCAGTTTCAGCCCGATCATTGGGTGTCGGTGAGCGTACCTAGAGTCCAAGTCATGTATTCATTGCATTCCGCTAGACAGAGAGACCACCATGAACCCTCCCCTTTACATAGCTGCACTTAAGCTACGTACTGTCCACGTCAATGACTTGCAGATAGTGCTTGCATTGCTGAGCACTATAGGGGAAGGTAGAGTTTTCCGAGGTCAGCTGATCTGAGCCATCATATGCATCAGTTTACGGAGACGTCGCAAACAGTGGACGACCGGACCCGCTCTGCCCTGGCGGAATATATCCACGAGCTCCGTTCTCAACCTTTGGGGCACCTGCCGGTGCGGAAAGTATTCATTGTGAACCCAATACTGTTCTTGCAAGGCGAATCCTGGAGGAAGCCAAGCGCACAAAAGTAAGCTCATATACATGATGTGATGCAGGGAACAAAGTGGGGCACCATTCTCCGGGGCTTTGGGAGCTGCCCTCGAAAGCATACGAGTCTCAGCCCTCTGCCGTCCACGATCACGATAGCTCGCATTCGGATAGAGAGCGAGCATCGTCATGCGTTTCGGGACACCTCCCACAATAAACCCCGCTGAGCGGGCTCATACTCTCGGAGACTTCACGTACGTAAATGTGCGACGCTGCACACCGGGGGGAGTTCTAGTTCATGACGTTCTGGGTCAATTTCTTCTATCCAAAAGACGGTCTGAGTCGTGTGGTCCACGAAGTAATACTTGCATCCGTCATCGTCGGTCGCCACAGTGAGGAAGATTTCGTAGTCGTCAGGAAGTGTCATGCCATCGGTTTCAATTAGCGTATCAAGGCGTAGGATCCATGCCGATATCTTGGCCCAGATGTCTGGATGATCAATCGGGTCGTCTGTGACCAGGCGCTTCGTTGCATTGACGTAGTACTGCGTTCCCTCGGGGTTGAAGTGGGCGACCCAGCCGACTCCGAGATACTGAGGTCTGCAGGAAAGTCAGCCAGCAGCAAAGCATGCAGGGGCGTTCAATATACTCTGGGGATAGGAGCGCTGAATGAAGGCCTCTGGGGATCTTGATGTAGGCCGGTGTGGCACTGGAGGGTCATGGTCAGCGGAACAGCCTTAGCAAAGCTCGTCATAACGTACAAGGCGATTCTGGCATAGCGCCTGTTCTGGGCTGGCGCCATCGGGACAAGCAGCCCATCCGTGGAGTAAGTAGGAGGGCACTCTAGGTCTGACAGTGAATTTGATTGGAAGACTGCCTGTGAAGCCTCAGAAGAGGGGACATCATTAGACATTACGGGAAGCAAGAGTGAGACGGGGGCGCAGAGTCTGTTGTAGGTATGTAGATCGAGTTCGCCGACCGCTTAGTTATACCTCCGGCAGCGCCTCGTGTGTGAGAACTCTAATACACCTTGCGGCGCGCAAGTGGTTCTGCCTGTATACAACCAGATAAGCCCAGATTGAGCGCGGAGACAGCGGCCACAACACATGTGTTCTTCAAGACAAATGAAACCGGAACGTACCACGGGGCACACGACGCCTGCAATGCTGTGGCTGCGCCAAGTGGACCTGGGGGCGCGGATGGTCTTGGAGAGGCTATGTGATTCAGGTTATTTGAAGGTGATAACTGCTTCTAGAAATCACGTAGTGAGAGCAGTGCGATATATGTATCATCTGCCACACCGGAAGTAAAGCTCTCAGCATGGTCCGGGTTAAGGGGAGACCGCCGGGAGGGTATTGAATCCGTGGGGCAAATACAGTCGAAGCTCGCTAATCGTTGCGCCGAGGAGCTGGGGTGCACGCCGGAAACTTTTCGCGGGCAGTATGTGGTGGCCTGACCGGTGGCAGTCCGCAGCGTCCTATTGAGGCGGATGTGAGCAATTCGATCATGTAGAGCAGCATCGGGACAAATAGTCTAACATACTCATGTCCGTCTCCAACTGCCTGGGTGAAAGCGAACGATTTGAGGTATTGAAACGCGAGCCTGGATGAGTGAGTGAGGCAACGGTGGTCGATTCTCGTTCAAGCGCCCATTCCAGCTGTGCTATGCCAAGCACGGCCGGAACCGCTATTGAGACTGGCATATTTGGCTCGTGGCAACTTGCATGTGCTCATGACGCCGTTCTCCTGTCTCTGCAGAACCATCGGCACCACCTGAGAATGATCAATGGGACCACGTTCTCGCAGTACACTCATCCCAAGATGGCTCCGACGCCGCCTGCAGGGTCCTTGGCGCCACCTGACTGTCTGATTGTGGCTGATCAGCTTCTGGAATAGTTGGGCGCGTCCACCGCCTCAGCGTTCTCTCCTTCTCAATCGCCTTTCAAAGGTTCATGTTTGCCTTATGTGCGCCGCAAGACTTCATACTTCTCCCTTCTGAGATACCTGGCCGATTGCCCTAATCCCCGTACTCGGATAACTCATGACGAGAATGCTGTGGTATGCTATGACCGTCTAGTACGGCCTCTAGATCTTCTGGGAGGTAGACCATTTCCGTGTCATACTTAGCTGAGCGTTGTACAGCTGCCGTGTCAATATCAAGAAAGGGGAGCCCGACGCCCCTCTTGCCAAATCCGCATCTTCACTCAGGCTGTTCCAATATGGCACCTTCTGTCCACGTCGACGACGACGTCGACGCTGCCGATGACACATCTCCCTCTTTGAGAGGCCGCCTCGAAGTGTCGACGGCAGCGCCGCAGGTCGACCAGCTCTCGGTGGCATGGCCGGGAAAGGCATCCTCCTTCCCGGCTTCACCGGCTTGCAGTACGCCTACTGAGCTTGAGGGGTGGGTATATATGAACCTTGCCGTTCTCGACTCGTACTCACCTTGACGCTCTGCAGGCAATCTGGAGACTCTGAGGAGCTCGGTGCAGGCTCAGGGCTACTTACCTTCGTGCAAGGAGACGATGATCTACCCCCTGTGGTCTTGAAGGCAAAGGGACGAGCTGCTACGTAGTAAGTATTCATACAACCTTAAGACACGGTGTAATATAGTCTAACTTGACTTTCACAGCCCCCTGTCGGGCGTCCGCAAGTATGTCGCATGAACCTTTGGCGTTGCATCGTGCTCTTGTGACTTACGAACTGTCTTAGCGACCACTACAAGTCTGAGCTCGAGGACAGCGATGACCCTGACGATGAGTGGTACCGGCCCAAGGGCCCTCCGAACAAGCCAACTGCTGACCGGCCGGTACTGCAAGGTCCCAAAGGTGTCGGAAAGCCTCAACAGGCCTGAGTGGGCCAAGCCACCAGAAATGACTCGAGCAAGGCTTGGGTGCTTAGCGCAGTCGTTGGAGATGTGTACCAGCTGCTCTATGTTGTATACTCTTGTGTGGACAATCGAGAACCATGGACATGGACCGTATGATGCCTTCTAACCACGAACATTCTTCTTATTTCTTACCGCTGAAACTATCTTCGAAGCGTATGGCTTCAGTCAAGCTGTAACGATCATATAACTTGTCCCGGAACAGCTGCGTGACGAAAATCGAGCTGAGCCCGAGGGTTGACCTCCAGATTCATATGATACCACGCGCGACACATACTTATGGTTGTGTTCCACGCCGCTATGTTTCTGTGCCTACATATATCCGCCTGCCAGGCCAGCACGAAGTGTTAGACAGCTGAGGTTACGCAGCCGCGGAAGGAAGTCGTCCATTCCGATGAGCAGCCTCTCCCGCCCCTGCAGTATGCGCTCCCTCTGCTCCTCCACCCGACGCTAGGCGTCCTACACCTAGCCGTACTTCTCCTTCGGCCGCCTGTTCTCGTCCTCGAGATCTGCGTGAAGCTCGAGTTGTCCTCAGACATGCAGCGCGCCTGGAAGGCGTCCAAGCTCATATCGGCATCGTAGCGCGGCCTCGCGAGTCGGCGTGATGTGCTTGAATGTGCACGAGATGCCGCAGACATCACAGACGATACGTAGGCGGAGTAGGCGATGCGTAGACAACTGATAGGAATGCCGTTGTCGCGCAGAGGTGGGGACATGGGGAGACCTGAGCTGAGGCCATCGCGGAATACAGTGCCGGCGCGCTTCATGGCGCTTCGTATAGACTCGGTGGACTAGGACGCTAAGGATGGCGGCGCATTTGCACAACATCGTGTATCCTAGTCACTGGCCATGTGCCGCCCCTGTTCCGACGACAGTCGTGTCGTATCTCGGCCCCACAACCGGCTTCTATACTAGACGTCGCACGGGAAGTGTCTCCTTGGGAGTTCCGAAGCCATATTTGCAGCATGGTGGACGATCTAGACGGTTATGCAGTCTTCCGAAACTGCCTGCAAGAACACATATCCGATAATTGTCCTTAGACGCCAGGGTGGCGAGAAGGTCGGGCTGGAAATATTGTCAATTAGTCCTTGAAGCTTGATTAGTGACCTTAACGCACGTCCCACAAAAGAGGGGGACGAGCTTCCAACGCACTGTAGGTTCTAATTCGCGTGCTCAAGGAGAATCGAGGGCTTCGGTGAGAGCCAGCGTCCCGGTCAAGCTCGGCAACGATCGTGCGACGACTGACTAAGCATTTTCCATCATCATCATGAACTCATGTCTATCAGACGCGGTCTGATATTGAGCGTATCGTTGAACCACGATCCAAGGGCCCTCCTTTCCCTGTTGTTTTATACTGGTGGCTATCAGCCAGAACCTTGTCGAGTTTTTCCCACCGTCCCATTGTGAACCCATTACTCTATATCCATGGTGAGCAGTTGCAACTAGGTTGGTTGTATGTAATCCCAGTGCTTCCGAACACGCGTCCGGTATCCTGCATGCATTGTAGAACGCCGCCACATAGTCCCAAGTCTCAGAACAGGCCGTACTGCTTTTGGTCCTGTGATAGCGCACGCTAATGCATGACCTCCACTCCACTACTCGCTAGATCCCGCCAGTGTCTCCTCTAACCGAGAAACTAACTCCTCACAACACAGGTTGTCCCACTTTCCGCGATTCCGAATAGGATGTCGCACCTCGCAACCTATCGCATATCGAACGGAACTTGGATAAGCTTTTGCAGACGCTAGCGGAGCGCTGCAACGCGATCCTGGACGAAGCCGCACGGGCGGCCGAGTGGGGGGTCGCTCCAACAGCGGCAGTCTCGGATACCCCGCAGTCAGCTGGGGGTGCCTCTGGCTCTGCCACGATGACACGGGAGCACCTTCTGCAAATGGAGACCGAGGCAAGCGACTACGAGTTTCTAACGTGCCGTCGTTCTCTCACCGAGCGAATCATATAGTCGGACATAATTCTCCAGTTCCTTGCAAAGAGGCCACCGCATGACGCCCATCGTAAGTACACCGAGTCCTCCTTAGGAAACCTGCGCCCTTCCACGTTCAGTGATAGCTGACGTTGCCGTTGTGCTCCAGTCTGCGTTGTCCGACTGAAACAGGATCTGGGCGCTCTCCGATGGTCGAGGTTGCGGTACTGGAGTGCTGTGCCTCGGGGGGGAGGCAAGCGGAGGGCCAATACCTTTCCATCTCCTTCATGTCAACTTCTTCGATACGGAAGTGCCAGTGCTCGTGCACAGGCCGGAAGAATCAACAATTTGAGTGCATCCAGCCTTCGGGTGTCGACTGACGTGGCAAGTCATCCTCATCACATCGTAGCAGCCCGTATCGCGACGGTCGGGGAATGGACCACGCGATCACATGCCACGACTTCATGAACGGCACGCCTCGAAAGTGGACGATGTGCTGAGCGGTTGGCGATCAGACAGGCACGCCGGAGTGTGTTGTGTGGGCGGAATGCGCACAACGGTCGTGACGGCGTTCATGCCCAATGTGCTCAGCCATTCCCTTTCAGCTCCTCTCGGCTCCCGCACCGATCATTCAGTCGCGGACGCTTAACGGGTGCAGGGGAAGCGTGACCGTGACGGTGAACGGTCGCACTGGGCGGTAAGTGTCGCGCGTTCTGGACGAGGCGGGGCTGAGCTGGAAGGTGCTAAATATGGAAAGGGGAAAAGGAAGACCTGGAGCTGGAGGAAGCGGAAGGAGATGAGGGTACGGAGGAATCAGGTTGGTTGTCGATAGGCTGAAACCACGCATCGGACGCGGGCTCTGCACTGTAACGTTAGGGCCCCAAGCCGCCCACACCAGCCTTCCATCGCATGTCATCTACGAATGCGACCTCTTGCGCATGCGGGCTGCCCACATATCTGTGCAAGAAGTCTCTGTGTGGTTTGCTAGACGCACGCGTGCGGTTAGGCGGCCTCGAGGCCAAACTTCGATGTTCGGAACCTTGTCACTATGGACTGGTGAGCCCATCTATCTCCCTGTAGTGGGACCCTCATGATCAATGCATTGATAACAATTACGGGGCGTAGTCTTCACAGCTTTGCTCTGCACGCGTCTCCAGCCATGGAGGGGTTGCCTCGCGGCTTGGACGTATGTCTCAACTCTCGGCAAGTTGACGCCTCGTGGTGGCTCTATTTCCATGGACTTCGTGCTTACCGGTGCTATGCGTATTCCTAAGCCACTGCCTACTCAGAAAACGGGGAAAATCGAGAGCCGAGCGCGATGTCTCTGTGCTCGCACTGCAACTGTTGAAGACCGGTGGAGCAGCTCATTTAGCCAGGGGGACTTCACTGTATAAAAGCTGCGCCGTCAAGCCAACTGTCTATCATCACTCCAACACCCGCTGGCTTCTTGCGACTCATTCAAACTCACCTACGGCCACAACTATCATGACAGCAGCAACCTCCTCTGTCGCTACGCAGGAGGCCGAGCTCCTAACATCTACCGCCATCAATGCCAAACACCTACCTTCAATGACTGGCAGCGTTTCGCACACAGGGGATATTGTCTCCGATGAGGTCAACTCGTGAGTTGCAAATGGGGCAGAGTCCGACGCGGAACTCACCACTTCTCTATGTAGGGCTGTCGAGCTTGCCGAGTACGTTGTTATAGCTAGCTCAAAAGCCTATTGAATATAAAGACTGAATGTTTATTTTAGCCTCGATGACGATGATGTTTGGACTCCTAAGGGACCTCAGACGCGGCCTACAGGCACTCCGCAGAAACCCGTGAAGCCCACAAGGCCTCTGGCATAGCCCAGGAAAATGTAGTTTGAAGAATGAAAGCGTTCCGCCACGCTCGGATATGAACGGACCGATTTCCTGTTTCCACATTCCTGCCTTACAATTCATGCTCTCCTTCTGATACGGACTATTTCCGTGGCTATATCACATCATACCCTGAACACCGATGACCGTTCCTCACTGATCGCTTTCCAACATTCGCTAATGCATGTATGTGTTCACGATGTGTTTCGGCGTTCACATACTAGGACATTTGACTAGTACTCAGACTATATTGCTTCTCGTAACAATAGATACAAGGTTTAGTTGTGCTGCGAGGACTTCGTAGTCATTGGCTATCGCCTCGGATGTCTCACACTCGACCACACGGGCGCCCCCAGCTGTCACCCCGAAGCTAACCCGACTCTTCGGCTTCCTTCCAGGCCGGACTGCCCTATCAGCTCTAATGCAATCAAATTTGCCTCAGCTTCATCCGATTGTCTCTACATATAGCAGAGAAACATTGGCAGCAACCGTCCCCTCCCTTCAACCCACTAGTGTAACACGGCGGGCAACGGATTACTTTGATAGCTGTCAACCAGCAGGGCTGTATCATAATGTCTCCTGTTCTTGATGAAATTCCTACGCTCGAGACTGAGGATGATCCAGACAGACTCGCGACAGATGGGTGCGTCCAGGTCAGGTGTCCATGATGATCAGGAACATTCTCTTGATAGATGTCTCAGGAACGCACCTAATGTCAACGGGGGGTTGACGAAGCCATTAACCGGGGAGGCAGACAAGGAAAACACTCCAGCAGAGTGAGCGACTTTGTCCCCTGTCTGTGTGGACGGTCTAACCTCTGCTCTCCAGAGATGTAGACCTGAATGATCAGGACGACGACGACGAGTTCATTGCGCGAGGACCTCCCAGGCAACCTACCGTCGCTAAGCCTTCTAGTAAGAAAAATACGCCACAGGGGCAGAAGGGGGACACTGTGACATCGACGGCGACTGGGGAGTCCAATGCTGTATCTCCACAGGCAAGTAAAATTCCGAGTCAGTCGCATCATAGCACATGGCATTGACAATCCCCAGACGGAGGGCCCTCCGAGCACTATCAAGTCTGCTAAGGCTAGCTAGATAGGCGGCCGTGTAGCCGCTCACAATATGTTGTATGGCTGCAATTTGAACGTCTGTCGTTGAAGTTTGTCGAGGGCTCACCAGGGGGCCAACCAGAGGGCCAACAACGGTACTTGCTCTGTCGAGGACATGTAATGTATTTGTGCTGACTAAGTGAATGTAGGTTCCAATCGGAATTCCCTTTGCCACATGAGCTGTGCTCCGGTAGGACTGCAGGACGATGATCTACCAATGCTTTACGAAAAATATGACAATTCCGACTCACTATGGAGACCCTGACTCAACTCTTGTATACCATTCCCAGTGCGCAGTGGGAAGTGTAGTCGGACGTAGACAAGATGAGTCTTGCGTTAACCTCTAGAGCTTGGGGCTTCTACGAAGCCCTGCTCGGACAAGAACGTAGGTTTCTGCGCCCAGGCGGTCTGACCGCGAGGGCCAGCAAAGTAAACGGAATAGAAAACAAAACTCACGTGTCATGCAGTGGTGGTCGCGGCTGTCTAATCTGCCCGGATTATTGTCGAGCGCAAGAGGGGAGCTATCGCAAACTTCTCCATCACTGTGTTGAGGCCATGCTAATAGCGGGATCTTCTCTTCAATGAGGGCATTGAAAGGCCCTGTAATCAAGTGTTCAGTGACCTCTAGATTGTTAGAACGGCGAGATCAAATCCCTGCCTCAGGTGGGGGCGAGCCCGGCGGACTAACAGCCGGAGAAACCTGCTCGAACACGCGACCGCGAAGAAAAAAAGGTCATTCAGCAAAGCTCGCTCGCAGGTGTTTTCAAGATCGTGCGGGTGACCGGGCGCAGAAATCCATGTTCAGACGTTTCCGAGTAACCGTCTTTGGGAAGTGCTTAGGCGCTTTCTAAGCGCCGATGCAGGAATTTGCCGAGCTCCACCTCGGCGAGGTGCTTGACGTGCTTCGGTACCAAGTCAACGTAGCTGTGCTCGCATACAAGAGTGTGGCAATCACAATCTGGAACTCACTTCCAATCGCCTTCCTATTCTGTTCTTGCAGCCCGACGCTGTCGATCTGTCCACAGCCAAGACGTGGCTACCTTACCAGATCTCATGACACAAGCTCTATAAAACGGCAGGAGACATCCGCAGAGAGTTCCAGGCCTCTCATTACATCGGCGTCGGGCTGTTCCGTTTGTTCCCCAGTCCATTCCGAATCATCTACTGTCAAGCTGAGGTACTTTTGTGACCAGCATCTCCGAGGTTTATCTATGCTAATGTATCTCTCATGTAGTGCTAGTAGTTTCGTAATGGCTGGGCAATCCACCAGCAAAGAGGCTAGAACCACCGGCACTCTTGTGGCGGTTTCTGCTTCGCAAGGCTCAACAGCTGATGCGACCACGAAAGCGTCGGCCACGGCTTCCCCTAACACGTCTTCATCGCAGGCAGCCCATACCAGTCAGGATCCTGCTCCACTAGTTTCTCTAGCATCGGTAACTTCTTCATCCACAGCGCTCAGCAGCTCAGCGGTCAACTCCGCGACGGGGAGGCTGTCGCAGAGCCCCACGGAGAAGGCAGCAACGACCACCGCAGGAGGTGACGCCACCCTAACCAGTGGCAGCCGCTCAGTGACCCAAATTGCCATCTCGAGCCACACAACCAATAGCGAGGCTGACGCGCCAACCATTTCAGTACACGATGTTAGTTCGACTTCCTCTCTTTCGTCCACTTCCCAGGGCGATACCCAGCCCCCCCTGGTATACCCATACCCCTCCCTCTCCATCCTAATTCAGCCGCTCCTTCGCCGACAATAATCTTGTCTTCTGCATCCTCTGTAATATCCCCTGCTGCCCTCCTTTCGTCTACCGCGGAGCTCCCCTTCGAGTGGACATGGAACTTGGAGATCCCAGCACCCTCTAGTTCCTCAGTATCATCATTGTCTCAACCTGTTCAAACATCGCCCACCCAGGGTACTGCGGTCATGGGAGCATGTGGGATACATGCGTCCGCAATCATAGAACCGTCCCCCTCTGCTCTTTCTGCTACTTCTCTGTGGAATATAACCAGTTCTGAAGGCACCTCTTGCGTTACACAGGCACCTCAGCAACAAGCGCTAAACCAGAATCCCGCCGAGACCACCAGCACGATCACGGACAAGCCGGAGGCTACTTTGTCTACCCCCGTGTTTGTCACCGTGACCAATGATCAGACGTCACTTTCCGAACCTCCTGTGTTCACGAGCGTCGGCGTCCCTCCATCGGACGGACAGGTCGTCAGCGCCACTCGTGTCATTGCTTCCAAAACCTCCACGTAAGTGAGTCTACGTCGGTGCAGCCAACAGCAATATGTCTGACAAGCTTCTGACAGGATGGTAGATCTCCAGGATACCGTCAAGTGGGCGTGATTTTCCGGCACGTCCTATCCTAGTACCGCTTCTGATCACATTCCTTCAGCGATGGACCTGATCCGGACGCCGAGGACGACTGGTGGGCTCACAAAGGCGGCCCGCTGAGCACGACAGCAATGCCCAGACCCTCAAAGCCACAAGGGCCTGTCGCTGTTGGCAAGCCAAAGCCAAAGCCGCGATGAAGAGTCAGAATGATCCATTCGCAACCGCAGGGGTCGTCTTCGACACGTTATTCGCTCTCTTTTGGCAATGCAACACGAACGCCTTCTGCTCTTGACGTGAACCTTGTTTGTAGCCTGTCTACTGAGCGAAGGCGAGTACGAATGTTAATGTACCTCATGGTCGGCTCGCCTTCCTGGCGTTGAAACACCGAACAAAGATCAAAGTCGGCTTCGATTGTCACATTTCGGGACGTGTCGCACAGGACCGACCACATGCGCGCTTTATGTCAGCCCGAGACAGCGTATTAGGTACTGCTTCCTGATACTAGCAGTCCAAGGACGCTCAGCATAGCAGCACTGCCCATGCTCGACCATTCATTTAAGGGTTCAGCCCAGCTACACTGTGCAATCGACATAGACGACTCTAACATACTCAACTGTCTCCCAAATCCGCCACTATGACCACAGAGGATTCCGTCCAACTCCCCTCCGAACCTCTTCCGAACACAGACGGCACGGACGTCTCCGACTCCTCTGCGACCATTCCTGGGATCATTGATATTGTTGAGGAAACGTAAGAGTGCTCAACCTGTAGCGAAGCAGCCCTTGATGACACGGAGTTCCAGGGAGACTCTGAAACTCGCCTCTACTGTGGCTAATGCCGTTGCTCCTGCTGCTGCCGCCGTCGCCTTCATCGCCGTGGCGGTTGGGAATGTTCCGGACTTGTAAGTCTCAGTCCTGAGAGCATCTGTACCCTCCGTCTCACCCATGCTTTCGGTAGAGGGGGCACTGCTCTATTGGATCAGACAGAAGATGTCGCCCCTGTTGATGAACTGTCGCTAAACCCATCGGGCTCCGAAAGTCTCGCCAGAAACGGAGATGACGCCCTCAGTGATGGGGAGGATGACTCCGAAGACGAGTTCGTTCCTAGGGGGAAGGGGAAAAAGCCAACAGACACTCCACACGCCACGCATACCCGTCCGAAGGCAGTGGGTAAGGTGAGTGAGAGCCAAATCTGTCTCCTACCTTTGACAACAAACGATTGTAGGACAAAACGAAGGATGAAGGCGCTGAAGAGGATGCTAAACAGAAGCAGAATGGCAAAAAGAAAGATAGCAAGAAGCAAGCGAGTAAGAAGGTTCAGAAGGCTACTGCGATATAGAGGAGGGAACTCACATAGTTGTGCGGATTTACTGCTGTTCATGGCTATACAATGTATCGCTCCGTGATGATGAACATGAAATACGTGTACAAAACATTCCAGCCGCTAAGAACTTCGGAGGTAGAAGGGGATCGTTCGATTTCTGTGCGCTATGTCATAGCTAGCTGATGTGAAAGAGTACAATACACGGCCTCAAGGCACGTTGGGTGGATTCCGAATAGATATACCTGGAAGAAATTCTGCCGTTTGGCCTGTGCAACTCCATCGGGGTCATCTATCATTCTTGCTCGTTTGACAAGAGGTCTTCACCTTCCCCTCCGACACCTATTGAGCTTACCCTAAGCACTTCTAGCGTGACTTCTCACTGTCTTCCGAGCACTCCCACCGTACTCGTCCACATGAGCGTCTCCTGTACTCGGGCTTCCATTCACCGCGAGTCCACACTCGCGCAGCCTCACACTGCCCATGCCATGGGCGTTGGCGCCGCGTAGGGTCCCGAAAGGCTTAAAATCCGCAAGAGGTCAGTTCTGCACACAACCGACTCCGTTCCTATTCGACAATCATCCCGCATACGTGGTCAATCATCCTTTCAAAGTCGAGCTACTCGGGTTTCGCAGACGGACATAATGATTCGAGACAATCTCGACAACTCATTGGTTCAGAAGAAATCAGTAGAGAGGTAGGTCTCGTTCACCTGTTGCACCTCACGAGTGGGACGTTACAACTGGAGGCATGCACCTATGCAGCGTCGATCAAATTGAAAAAGACGTGAAAGCTGACCCTTACCCTTAGACTAAATCTTGCTGATGACAAAGCGTACGTTCCATTCGGTGCTCGTCCTTGAGATGGCTCATGATCATAAGCAGCAACGGACCCGAGGACGACGGCGACTTCATTCCAAAAGGGTTGACTGCACCCCCAACGGGGAACACCCCAGCTTCAGAGCCTGCCAGACCTGCGAAATTGAGCGAGCAACCCAAACCGTCTAGCAATGCTCAGTCGGCCCCGGTTGAAGTAGAGGCAAGCCATTAGTCTTTCGCAAACCTAGTTTATCGATGCTAAGGACCCCCCAGATGACCGGGAAGAAATCGAAGGTCGATTCCGAGAGCCACGGAAAGTGCTGCTGCCCATGTTGTACTGTGATGTAGACAGAGGCAAGACTTAGATATCACGATAGGGTATGGAAGAGCGCATGAAGGACTGCATGAGTTGGCTTTGATTTCCGGAAGAATTGACACAACAACTTTGGAGCGCAAGCGTGTGTCTTCGGGAAAGTGCCGTTTCCTGCGCTTCGTTAGGGGGGTTCTGAACAATCCGAACTATAAAGTACCGACTTGGAAAGGATAACTAGATACTGGGCTTTTATCCTGAGATCCGAGTCGACAAGCCGACTGGGTGGTTGGTGACTAGTCGAATTGTCCATCGACCAGATTTTGCTGGAAGGCATGACCGGCCTTGACAGGAGCAGAATGTGGGAGAAGCCCTTGGAGTCCACAAAGGCAGAGTCGGAGGCATAGTGGCGCTAAATGTGGTTTGCGCCTGCTTCGTCGTCACCCCAAAATGTCAGCGCCGTCCGGTGTGCAGTAGTACATCAGCGTCCGGCAGATTCCGAGTACATATCGTCACCTGCAGCGCACGCCGCATACACACCCCATCCTCATCGCACCATTGAGGCGTCCTTCAACGTTTCAAATTTCGCCGACCTCATGGGCTGCACCCGCAATAGCGCGCCATGTGTGACTCTGTGAAGCCCCACGCACAGCGCCTTCGCCTTCTAGGTTACTTCTTGGATCGCTGCTCAAAGTCTGACATCGCACGAGGAGCCCGAGCGGACCAGCGATTGCGACGATGCTGCTTGCGTTTTCGACATCGCTTTGCTGTTTCTGGAAATCAAGTTCCTGGCTATAGTATCGTGGCTAGATGTCCAACGAATGCGATGCTCATTTGCACTGTCTCTGTCCGGCGAACATGGGTCCGCACCTTCCATTGAGCATCCATCGTGGTGGATCTATCTGGCTGGACTCGATGCTTAGCACTGTGGGATTGCGTTCGTCTTCAGAGCGTGCCCAGCCCTTTCCCGTCGTCTATCCGCGGTGCTATATAGCTGGGAAGCAGGGAAGCACCCGGGCTTATCACCCACACCTCCCCCCAAGCTCATGTCCGCTGCATTAGTACTGAACGAGCCCACGGGCCAGAATCCCATCTCCTCCACCCCTGCTGCGCTCGACTCTGCGACTGCTCGCGGTGTCCACGACTCTCCCTCTTCATCTAGCCCGGCAGCGTACGTCGATCGCTCTCAGTATCATAATCCCGGAGATTGTCTGACTGATGTGCGTGCACGTCCCCAGTGAGCACGTCCCCCCGAGCACGGAAAAGGTTGCCGTCGCTGCCGCCGCCGACTCCCTTTCTAGGCCGAGCGACACCGACGCGCAGGAAGGGTAAGTGCCAGTGCTATGTATGGTATGCGCGCTGGTGGACGTGTGCTCATTGTACGCCCCTGCTTGTTCTAGGATTGCGATCACCGGTGACGATGACAAGAAAGACGACGATGACGATGGCGATGACTGGTTTCCCAAGGGCCCACCCATCCGCCCGACTGCTCACGGTACCGGCGGCGGCGGCGGAGTGCCCAAGGGAGTCAAAGGATAGTTGCAGGGAAGTCATCAGGTTGAGTGGCCGGCAGCGTACAGTGTCTCTTGCAACCTGATCGACACGACGAATTGAAACATTTCCAGTACATGAGGGGGGAAATGGCAGACGCATATCGTCGTCAATACCATTATTTCGATGTAGCAACATACGGTGGCCTCAGCTAACGAGCGAGCTGCCTGCCTTTGACGTGGGATCGCTCCTTTCGAGAGCCACGTTTTCGACTCTGATCGTGGCTGAATATTGTTAATATTGAATTGTGACCTGTCCAGTGAATGCGACGAACGTTTGCATTGTTTCTTCCTGGCGAACCTGTGCCCGCACCTTCCAGAGACCTTCCGTCGTGCTGGATCCGTCCAGCTAGACCTGACGTCAGATACTGTAGGTTTGCATCCACCTTGTGTACACAGCACCTCCAGTCGCCGCTCCGCGAGACCTATAAATCGCGGGCCTGAGAAGCACCCGGGCTTAGCGCTTATCACCCACATCTCCTCTCAGCTCATGCACATGCCCGCCGCCAACCCGAACGAGCCAAGTCCCGCGGCCCAGACCCCAGCTTCCCCTCCTGCCGCGCTCAACTCCGCACCTGCGCGTGCCAACGAACCCCCCTCACAGGAGGACGGCGTGCTGCAGAGCCCGGCCTCAGATGTCGACTCGCATAGCTCGCAAGACGGCTCTTCTCCATCGGAGGGACCCGTTACCACAGCAGAGTACGTCGATCTCCTTACCAGGACCGACCCCTCGGCTCGTGGGGCGCGAAGGGCTGACCAGACCTTCACGTTGCAGTGAGCACTTCGCCCGTCGCGCCGATCAGGTTGCCGTCGCCGTCGCTGTCGCCGCCGGGGCGCCGGAAGGGTGAGTACCAGTGCCAGACATGATTTGCGTGGTGGTCGAAGTATGCTCATGATACGCCCTTGCTTGCTCTAGGCCAGCGACCACTCGTAAAGATGACGCGGTAGAGGACGATGACGATGACTGGTTCGTTGACAAGGGCGGACCCACCCCCCCGACTGGCACAGTGAAGAGCAACATAAGGCCGACGGGAGTTAAGACCCAGGTAGCCCAGGAGCCCAAGAAGCCCAGTTGAGCGAATGGCGATGTACATACAGTCTCTTGTGATCGGGCCAACGCGATAAACTTTGGATGACCACTACGTGAGCGGGGTTATGACAGATCTATACCACTGTCGATACATTCCATTCAATGAAGCGATATACATTGAGGTAGATCGATACAAAGAAAAACATACTCGGGCGCGCAGCACGGACCAGCATCACAAAGCAGGGCGATACACCAAAAGGACTACAGAAGCAAGGAGCACCAGCTGAGCGCCCAGAGCACAACCGGTATGCGCTAGTCTAGACATAGAGAGAGAGAGAGAACGTGAGCGAGAGCTATCGTCATCGCCATAGTCATCGTGAACGGCGGGTCATCAGAGTCCGTGCAAGTCATGACGAGTCGAAGGCCGAGAGCGGGGTGCGAGAGGTCATAGCCCGTTCGCGCTGCGGCGGCTCTGGCGGCTCGACGGCCGCCTGGCGAGCTGCTCCTTCGGGCGCGTAGTCGGCGACCACGCGTTCTGGAAGACCCAGATTTCCTTGCGCTGGCCGAAGTGGAAGATGCTCCGGGTGCCCATGGGCACGCTCCCTGCGAGCTTGAAGCCGCCGGCGTTGAAGAAGCGGAGGACGAACGCGACGAGCATGCTCTTGTCCACCTCGACTGCGGACGGTTAGTCAGCCATGGGGATTGGACGCGAGGAGGGTGGGCAGATGTGAGAGGGACGGGACGCACCTCCATAACCGCTCCTCTTCACCTCGAAGACGTGCCGGCCATCCTCTGTTGCACGATCGGCGGTGATCTTCTTGGGGAAGGTTGCACGGAGCTCCATGCCCAGCTGCTCACTTAGCGAGTACGGGGCCTCCAGCAGAGTCAACCTATCGCCCGCCCTTGAGAGCATCATCAAGAAGATGGAGGGTTCGTGGTCAGGCGTCGAGTCCACAAAGATGAGCTGTGGTGGCTTCCACTAGCAGGAGAAAACGTGAGGGACTATGCCCGAGCAAAACGATGATGAATACATACCGGATTCCCTACGTTGACTGTCGCGAGATATGAGTAGCCCTTCGGAGCTTCGTCAGCTAGATGGCAGCGTCAGAGCAGGTATAACTAACGTTGACTGCAAGAGTTCGGTACAATTGGAGAATCATCTTCGCCGCCCTAATGCAGCATACGATTGAGCAAGGACGGACCCCAAACAAGAAAATGCGCGTACCAGAGCGCATCCTGGCCGACAGCAGCCCATGGTGTGCCGGCGAACTGAATCTTCCACTTGCCCCGCCGGCTGTCCGCACTGTTGAAGCCTCGGGGCCAGTGCTGGAGCACGTCCTCCTGCAATTCGTGGATCATAGCTTCCTGGTGCACGTTCTCCAGCCACAGCTCATTGGTCGACCGCAGCGTCAGGATGAGATGATCTACCCGATGCACATGTAGCCCGTCCCCATCGCCACCGGACAACCGCAACGGAAGCACGTACCTGGTACAAATGCGCGGATCCGCGAGCCAGAACGCGTCCGCACGCGATGCATGCCGTGCCCATCTGCGGACCGTCCCCTGGACATCGGCCGGGAGAGCGGGACGTCGCCGACGCCGTGGTCTGGGGTGCGCGTCCGCTTGAGCGCGGACTTGAGGGGCTGCTTGTTCCGCCCCGGGGTGGACGACCGCGAGATTTCTCGGTCGAGCGGACGCGGGCGGCCGTGGGCGGGGGTGCCCGGCTGCACGGTGGGATATGCCGGGAAGGGCTGGGCGATGGGGGGAGTGGGTTGGCCGTAGACATAGCTAGGGGGGAACTGCTGGAAGTAGGGCTGTCCGGGGAAGCCTTGCTGGGGGGCGTAGTAGCTGCGGTCGTTCTGGTACTGCATGCTGTGCGGCGAATCCGGGGAAATGGAGGGAGGTAAGCGTGGTCTTCGGGGAACGATCCGAGGCGCTGTGCGGTCAGCGGGCGGTCAGAGGATGCTGTCGGGAGAAGGTGGCTCAGGTGAGGTGGGCGACTAGAGGCGAGGATGTGTCTGGGAGACAAGGGGCGCAGGGCGAGGGGGCGAGCTCTGTTTTGCATTTCCCGTTAGCGCCTGCGAAGCCGCTGCAACGAGGCAGATGAGATGCACTCGACACTGTTTGCTCCTCAATGTCCGCCTCGATCACCATTCTCCCTGCACCGCTCGGGGCCTGGACGAGAGAGGGGACCGTGCCCGTGTTTGTCGTGCATCAGTATCATAGACCTTCGTTCGGCCACAGAGAGAAGAGCATGACACGTTGTCGAGGTTCGAAGTGGTCCGAGTCGGATGCCTTCTCGCGCTGTCCCCACAGGCGCCCGGCCCCACGTGAGCGCTCCGCAAGAAGACGGGCGCCTCGCGTTGGCCGTGTCGGAGTCGTTGTACGAGAAATCGTGCTCGTCAGACTGCTCGCACTTCCTCCTCCACTCCCAACATGGCTTCCAAGGTCGTCCAGTGGCTCCAGTCCCCTGCTGCCCGCGAGTACTTCTTCAGTGCGTATTCTGTGTGTTATTTTGAAGTCTTCATCTAACTCGCTCGACGCAGGCACGCATTTTTGGGGACCGGTCCGTGTCAAACGCTCCGACTAGGTGGTATGAGTCGACTCACTCAGCCTTCTGCCCCAGGTCGCAAACTGGGGTCTCCCCCTCGCCGCCATCGCAGACTTGAACAAAACAGAGGATGTGATATCGGGGCCCATGACCACGGCGTTGGCTTCCTACTCGTGAGTGCAGTCATCCTCACCTTGCGTAGGCATCGAATTCACACCTCGAGGACACCGCCTCCAAGTCTGGTCTTCATGCGTTTCGGTGCGTGTTCGTCCGTGTGCTATTCCCAGAGGCGTACTGAGTCGTGTCGTGCTATTCTCAGCATGGCGCGTACAACCAAGGAACTACCTGCTCTTCGCGTGCCACGCGACAAACGCGACCGCCCAACTCATCCAGGGTGGTCGCTTCGTCAACTACTGGTACCTCGGCGGGCAGGACAAGGAGCAATCGAGCAAGCCTGTCGCGCAAGAGGTTGTGGACACCGCCAAGACCGTTGTTGCGTCAAAATGAGCCTCAGGACCGCACTCCTGGTTTTCCTTCCATACAATTCACACGCGCTGGGCGGACGTTTTGTTGCCGTATTTGCTCCATACATAGCTTACCCTAATAGTAGAAGTAGAACAGTGCAACGACGTCGTATGCCGGAGACAGCAAGAAACAAAAAAAAACGAAAAACCCATGTCCGAGGTCACCAGAAGCCGTCGTCCCCGTCCCCGCCCTTGCTCTTCTTCCCGCCCTTCGTCTGAGCGAGGGCTTGACGCTGATACATCTCTGCGATCTACACCGCAATCGTCATAAGAACAACTGGCATGATGGCCGCGAAATTGCTCAGCGTACCTGCTCAGGACCCGTCGCGTCGTCTGCGTCCTTGTCTTCTCGGATTTTGATGAATCGAGGGAACCGCAGGGAGATACCGCGCTCCTCGACCTTTTAGGCATCCGCGTCAGTTCTTGTCGCGTTCACCCGACTCGCTCAGAGCGCAGCTCGTAGTGTAGTGGGGACGTACCAAACCCTGCGCGGCGGTATATATGGGGCTCAGACTCAGGTCCGCCGTCAGGACCTCCCAGACGACCTTGGGCTCGAACCAGACGTCCGGCTTCGCGCCGCCGATCTTGATGTCCCCGCGGGGCGCGTGCACCTCGAGCGGCTTGAGCGTCTCGTAGTGCGCCTGCAGCGCCTCGTCGCTGAACCCGGTGCCGATCTTGCAGATCGTCTGGTACTCCTCCGCGTCGGCGTCGTAGCACGCGAGGAGGAACGCGCCGTAGACGTTCGTCCGCTTGCCCTTGCCGAAGTAGCCACCGACGACGACGAGGTCGAGCGAGTCGCCGACCCCGGCGAGGTAGTCCTTCTTGAGCTGCAACGCGGGGTCAGCTACTGAAAGAGAGAGGGGGGAGACAGTGACGTTTCGTGTGGCTAACTGACTGACCTTGAGCCAGTTGACGGTGCGCCTGCTGGGCTGGTAGTGGCTGAACTCGCCCTCGAGCATCTTCACCATGAGGCCCTCGCAGCCGTCCTTGACGCTCTCCTCGAGGAAGGTCTGGATTTCGTCCACCGTTTCGGCATCGGACGCCTTTGCGAACTGGAACTCGTGCTCCACGGGCTGGAAGTGCTCCTGGAGCAGCGCCCGACGCTCGGCGAAGTCCTTTTGCAGCAGCGGCTGTTGGACGCGTGAAATGGCACGTTGTTCGGTACGACATAGTCAATGTGTGTTCGGTAGGAGACAGGGCAGATTGTCAGTCAGCCAGGCTCCGTAACGATCAACGGAACTCGGGCCAGGGGCAGAGCTTCTGATAGGGGACACAAGACGTACCTCGCCGTTCAAATATAGCAGATCAAACGCGAACAGGCACACGCGGACTTTGATGTCCTCCACCTTGACATCCTTCCGCTTGCGCCTAGAGAGCTCTTGGAAGGGGAGGAGCTTCGCAGTGTCTTTGTCTATAGCCACCGCCTCGGCATCAAACACGAAGGTTTCCGTGCCCTCCTTGACACACTGTGGAATGCCACGAGATCAGATAAATATGTTCTCGGGATGCGTGGCCATGCCACCGTAGTATTCAAATGCGAATGTGGAGGGCTCCGTATGACATGGGGTTCGTGAACCACATACCCGGGGCAATTGTTCCATGAGATCGGGGTACTTCTTGCTCATGTCCTCGGAATTGCGGCTGAACACGGCAATAGTGCCGTCTGCGAGCTTGTGGACCTGTACGCACAACGCGATAAACACATGGAAGCTCGTGGACGGACTGTGGTCGAAGAAGGCTGTACCTGTGCGCGCTCGCCATCGTACTTGTACTCGCATGTGAATTTCTTGCCCTCGAACTTGTCGAGGACCTCTCCTATAGCCTTCGTAGGCTTGGCCAGCATAGGCTTAAGGGGCACCCCAGGACTGAGTTTGCACTTCTCCTTAAGGCCGTCAATGCCGGCATTGAGGAGAGCGGGAATAACGAGGTCGTAGTTCGGAAGTTCGCTAGAAGATGATGTTGAACACGGACATGGTTCACAGCGACCTAACCAGTACGCGAAACGTCATACCTGTACACCTGCTTGATGATCCCGGCAGCCTCTTCAAGCCGGGCAGCAAGCTTCTCCGTATTCAGCCTCTTGTTCGCTGTGAACGGCGAGAACACCAGTCCGATCAGTACCCTTACCCCCACACCGGCACAGCACATGTCAAACAAGACTCACCGCTTTCCTGTTCAGCGAGGACAGCGGCATGCGCTAGTGCAACAAGGACGGTGCGCTCGGCGTTACCTATTCGGAGCTTGCCTTCTAGACTGCGGATAATGTACTTCGCTTCCTGGCCCTGACAAGATGCGAGCAGCTTCGTGATGATGGACACTTTCTTGTTTTGTGACTGAGATGACATCATAAGTTGAACCGCGGTGGGAGTTGCACGCGGCGTGATCGAAGGGAAACGTACAGAGTGCCCGCTGCTCATAGCGATCTCTTTGAGATTCTTGAACACGGTGGGAAGAGTCAGTGGTTTAGGCTTGAAGAGCGTCTTCTGGCTATTCTTGGAGTTCTGCGATAGCGACAGTCAGTTCGCAAGGGGCCTCTCTCGATTGGCAGGCACTGACCATAGCGACGAGCCCGAGGTCACCCTCCTTCTTCAAGTCTGCCTTGACGGTCGCCAGACTTCGGCCTGTAGACTCACTGATGGCCTTGACCAGCAAACTCTCGCCGATACCTAGCTCGATCCCCATATAGTCAGGGCAGAGCTGAAAGTATCAAATGAAGATGACGTGTCTCGTAGAGTATATCTGAAGCGTACTCGGTTAATGCAGAGGTAGACTGCTTGGAGCAGGGATTGCGTAACCCCCTCTGCTCTCCGTCGAATGACCAAAAGCAAGAAGGATGTCAATAAGGAGGTCTTCTCGATGCGTTTGGTGGTCGCCTCAATCAGCGAAAACACCTTGGCCAACGCGGCATAGGGCACACTATGTATACGAGTAAGTGCAGGGACGGAACGCAGAATCAGTCCGCTTACGGTTCTCCGACGTTCCAGCCGTTAGGGAGGTCGACCTCCTCGATCTTCAATAGTGCTGCTTCGGCGCTGCGGAGATGCGCTCAGTTCAGTCACAAAGTCGAGAGGCTGAGCTCACTTCTGTGACGCAACGCCGCCCTCCTCTTCCTCCTCCAAGTCCTCATCCGCATCAACCTCTTCCTCGCCTTCATCCGGGTCTTCTTCGACAGCGGATGAGACAGCGGCGTCATCTTCATCTATAGGTTCAGCCACCGCCACAACCTTGTTCGCCTTGGCATTGGGTCCCGATTTCGATGGTGCGCTCGGAACACTATTGGGCTTTGCCGTAGTGTTTGAGGACGGTGGTTTCTGTGAGCCCGCCCGCGTCTGCTTCGTATTGGACGGACCAGCTGGATGGCAGCACGCCTCAGCAAAATGAGAGTTGCGATGTCGAGCAGCAGCACTCACGTCCCGAATCATCCTCATCGTCGGATTGGATCACTCGTCGTTTCTTCGACGCTGGTGGCTTCGGCTTGGCTGGCAACGATGTGAATCATTGCAACGAGTCTAATCAAAATGACAACTCACGATGTTTGGCCGGTGATGGAGAGCGTGTCGCCGCCACCACTGTTGTATGTTGGCACTGTGATAGGTGACCCTTAGGGAAGCGCGTACCTTTCTCAGAATCACCGACCCCCCCTTTTGCATCCACTGCATCCTCCTCCTTCTCTGCTTTCGTACTGCGTTTCCTCTTCCCACCGAACGCGTTGTCCAGTGTGGTTTGAACGGGGGGATCCCCTCCCTTCCCAAAGAACTTGCCTGGACAGACCGGTCAATCTCTAGTAGAGTTGCGGTGTATCAGAGCACATACCCAGAGTCTGTTGGCGGACCATGATAGATGTAGCTGAGTTTCGGATGTAGCAGGTATGCAGACGCGACTCGACGCGGACCCTCGGAAGCGCGGCTTTGACGCGTAACGTGACTGTGACGAGCATAAGTTACTCCACGCGACTGGCGTGGAACAGGCTTTCTGAAAACGGTCAGCAGAGGCCGCTGTACATCCAGCCAGCAAGTGAGTGTGTCTCGAACAGCCTTCGAGTACCGCGAATTCAGGCGGACAAAGGCGAGAGGCAAGTTCAGCAAGCAGCAGCAGCACCGTCAATCGTCGCCTACCACGAATGGAGATGACGCAGGGACGTGATTCGTGTCAAGAGCGCCTGTGACCTACGCGATCGAACGACGCGCGCAATAATGGTGGCTGCGCTGCATGCTTGTCACCAACGAGCATCACCCCCCTGCGTTTCGACACAAGCATGCCCCTCTGATACTATTGTGCTTCAGACTTCCAAATTCAATTGCGCTGATTTGACATTATAATGCATTGACTTACAAAAGCTCCAGCGACCAAATCCATGTGAAGATTCACACGACCCACTAGTTCAAGGGACATCCAGCTCGCGATGATTCGCTCGGTCTCCGGATATCCTGTGGGCCTGCATCCATGCGGCTGCCATCGCTATGTGTGAAACCCATTCACAGGGCCACAGCCATGCAAGCGTCTGCTCCATATCACCATCTATCTGTCCACGGTCAAACCGTATCACCCAACTGTCTTCTACGCTTCTCTCCGAGCAGATTTCTCATGAATCGGTCGAGAGACACAAATCCTCGTCCTCTTGAGTACCCACGAAGTCCCAGTACGTGCGTCTGCATGCCTCCGACCGCCCGTGCAAGCACTGTCCTCCCTCCGGGTCCCCAGCCATGTCTGCACTCGCGTCATTAACAACTTCTGTGATAATCCTTGAGGTATGTTGTGTCCATCGCTCACCTTGAAACACCGTGCTGAACAAAGCAGTTTATGAACATTTCCCTCTTACTACTCCTCGTGTTTACGCCTGCTCCTAAACACCCTATTGTCAAAGCCCTCATGATCTCTTGTCTCCTTCGCTCCGTGTTGGACATCCTACCTCCTATAGTACACAAAATCATCCCTCAAAAGCTCGGCATTCATATAACGAAACATCCAGCCACAGTCAACTTCTGCATCGTAGACTCTATATTGTGAGTCCTTATGCACGCCCCGCGCTCCTGACTTCAAGACGTTTTTCACAGGCTTAATTATGTCACCGTGGTCAAAGCAGCATTCGCTGTCAACTTTACCTTGGTATGAAGCCTCTCATGCACTTGAAGAGGGTCCTGAATCATGTCTTGTAGCCATTCCTGGGACTTGCTCTCCTTCAGGCCAAGCCAAAGCGCAGCGCGGATGATCATCCTCACCTTACGAGACGCAACGTGTGGATCCTGTGCGTCTCTCCGTTCTGTATGTGCGAATCTAGGTGTATCAAGTTCTATTCTTCCGCGCTGACCCTTCTTCTAGTATGGGCGCTGCCTGTGTTGCTCACCCCTATTCATGTTCTCTCGCAGGGAACCCCAAAGTCGGTACAATATAACATCGTCAGTCCCATTTGATCGCACTCATTGAAGCCGGGTAGTTAATCGATATTCAGACTTCATGTTACTTCGACGATCCTGCCTTCACAATAGTGTCCCTGATCTTCACTCTCATACCACTTGCCGTTTCCACCATCGTCGCCGCCGTTCTAGCCGTCGTCATCTGGCGCTTCTCCACCATGCTCGATCGCACGGGGTGGCACTTTGCGAAGACGAAGCGATTCGCTCGGTTTGGGGCCCTCGTCTTGGTGACTATGATTTCAGCATCACTCTACACGGTGGTGCTTTCACAATGGATCCACTTGCGCCGCCGATGGCCCGACGGGGATGGTACGTGGACACAGGACACCGGGTGGGTCAGAATTATCCGCACAAGCGTGCTTTGGGAAGGTAGTCTCCTTAACACATTGCATCGTCACCATCTCCTGACAACCATCCCTAAGCTATAACTCCGATGCTGTTTTTCGTGATATTCGCAGCGCAAGAGGAAATATACGAGACGTGGCTCGGGTGGATATCTTGCATCCTTCCCAGGAGGAAACATGACGGGAACCATCACGGTCGCTTTGGGAATAGCCTCCAGACGTCGCACCGCGGTAAGTTGTCGCTAAACTTAGCTATCTCCGCGAGGATGGAAGAAGTCTAACTCGACATGCCACGATCATAGTTGTATCTGCCGAACATGCATCTTGCGCTACCCTGCCAAACCGTAGCACGACTGCGCACGATGGCGAGACGGCAGCCGTCGAAAGACTAACACCGCAACCGATCTTTACGCGGCTGGAGAAGATCGTCTCGCGCCCGCTGACGTCTTCCGGTACACGCCGCTCTTACCAAAGCGAGCGGGGACGCCAGCGACCGCGGAGCATCCCCACGTTGGACGGTCTCACGCCCGCCCCACGACATGGGACCACGGAAGCGGCCTTGCCACAAGAGCCGCAGGGGCCTGCACAGTCGCGTTTTGCGTTCTTGAAGGGTCCCTCCTTGATGACGTTTGGAAGCGCAGCCTCCGCAGGTACCAGCCGCGGTATCACGACCTCGTCCGGCGATACGTACGAGGTGGAGGAAGGCGTGCGGCCCGGTACTGGCGACCTGCAAAGTCCGTCGAGAGCTTACACTAGACCGGACACTCCAGGATCGTGGAAGACCTTTGGGACCGAGGAGGCAGGCAAGCGGCCGAAGGGCTGACAGAAGTCGCACGTTGAGATGTATTCATTTTTGTGTGTTTTTACCCCGTAGCTCTGCATGTAACACTAGGCCGCTTGTAGCATACGACTGTACCTAATAGTTCCTAAGTATGCGTTAGCATTTGCCTTAGACCTCTCGGATATTCCTCCATAAGTGGAAGGCAGGAAGACTAGCGAGTCTAACCGGAAGATGCCGAACTGTACAGTTCATTGATGGTGGCTTGCCCTCTCAGTTAGCGCCCATAGCCCAAAAGCTTGAAGGTACTATCCGCCGCCGCCCACCGCCTCCATCCTCAAGACTCCAGCCATGGCCGAACAGGTGAGCGCCGTCTCTTTCACCACAGAGGGAGAGCGTGCCTTTGACCCCGTTATGCTGGCAGATCGAGAAGGCATTCCAGAAGCAGCCCATCTTCCACAACGCGAAGGCTCGCGGTATGTTTTAGGCTCGGGAGTACGAGAGATGGCCGGATGCTCATAGCCGGATGGGTTGTAGGTGGCAAGAAGGTCTCCACCAAGGAGAAGCGGTGGTATAAGGATGTTGGTCTTGGCTTCAAGACCCCGTCTGAGGCGATTCACGGCAGCTACATTGGTACGTTCCTATGACCCTATATGCGCTTTGTTCCGAGAAGCGAACATCCACTCTAGACAAGAAGTGCCCTTTCACCGGTGAGGTCTCGATTCGTGGCCGCATCCTCACTGGCCGTGTCATCTCCACCAAAATGACGCGCACTGTCATCATTCGTCGGGACTACCTTCACTACATCCCGAAATACAGTACGTCTCATCACCCGATCTATGGGCGCAACCATTCCTCATCGCTATGTGCGCTCGCTCTACGTAGACCGTTACGAGAAGCGTCACAAGAACCTTGCGGCGCATGTATCACCAGCTTTCCGTGTAGAGATCGGCGATGTGGTCACTGTTGGTGAGTACTCGTCGGTGTGCTTGCGATTATGCGTTTCTCAAGTTCGGATAGGTCAGTGCCGGCCGCTGTCGAAAACTGTGCGTTTCAACGTGCTTCGGGTGTCGAAGAACAAGGCCGCGGCAAAGTCTTTCGGCAAGTTTTGAGCTGTGGAGGTGTGCTGCCTGTAGGGCGCTTTGACGTTGGGGGGCGTAGGATATGGTATTATTGTTTCCTCATGTGCTATGACCGCATCAAAATGACACTGCACCATGCGACGACTCGAGCTCTTTGATTGTGTGCGGCAAGAGAGATAGAAAGAGTGAATATACGTGTAGCCGGGCGCGGGTGGTGCCAAGAGTGATAGACGGGAGCTGTGCACGAGGCAAACAGTTCCCAAACAAGGCTCTGGACCGTCCCCGGCGCGGGCGTTGGTCTCTGCTTGGCTCTGGCGTCCACCCCGACTCCCGTCCATCCTCTCCGTCCTGGCGATTGTGTACCATAATCTCACGTTTTAACGACGCCTACATACCCTTCGGTCCCTCCCCATTCCCACCCCCTAACCCCCCTACAACTCCGTCAAACTGGCGCCAACACTTCTCTCCGTATTCACCTCCAGACTCTCGAAGTCCAGGTCCCAGTCTCCCCAGCCCGGTTCACCTTCTCAGAACTCTTCTGCGCTTCCCATGGGCCAGCAGCAGTCCAAAAAGTCGAAGAAGGGCGGAAAGGACAAAGACAAGGATGCCAACGCCGACGCCGCAACTCCTGATACTCACGGTGCGGATGCCAACGACGCGAACCAGGGAAGCCTTTCCCGCGCGACCGCTCCTCACGATTCCTCTGGCGAAGGGAACGGCCACGCTGCGACCGTCGCGGCTATGGGTACTCCAACAATGACCGTCACCGACCCCGACGGCGGCTCTGTCATCCCGAATGGGAGTGGTTCACGCCCTCCTGGCTCCCCGGGCACTTCTCCTAGTGATGCCCTCTCCACAGCTTCACCCAAGGCGGCATCGCCGCAGTCCTCACCAGTCGTGCATGGCAAACCCGCCCCTCTTGATATCCCGATCACACATACCATCCTCTCCACTTCGCCTGGCTACCCCACTCCCGGTTCCACGAATAGCTTCTCCCTCAACGACCCAGCCAGCGTGACGAGTAAGAATGGGAAAGAGCTAGTGAAGGCTTTAGATATCGACGACATGATCCAGAGGCTCCTGGACGTCGGCTACACCGGCAAAGTGAGCAAGTCGCTTTGCCTCAAGAACGCGGAAATTGTTGCCATTTGCCAAACGGCGCGGGAGGTCTTCCTCAGCCAACCCACCCTCATTGAGCTCTCCCCACCTGTCAAGATTGTCGGCGACGTCCACGGACAGTACTCGGACCTTATCCGACTGTTCGAGATGTGCGGCTTCCCGCCTGCGGCGAACTACCTCTTCCTGGGCGACTACGTGGACCGGGGAAAGCAGAGCCTCGAGACCATCCTTCTTCTGTTATGTTACAAGATTAAGTATCCCGAGAATTTCTTCTTGCTGCGAGGAAACCACGAGTGCGCGAACGTCACGCGAGGTGAGTCCCGAGCCGCCCATGCAGTTGGTCTACCACGTTCAACTGACACCTCCAGTGTACGGCTTCTACGACGAATGCAAACGACGGTGTAACCTCAAGACGTGGAAGACGTTCATTGATGTTTTCAACTGTCTGCCGATTGCTGCCATCGTCGCGTCGAAGATCTTCTGCGTTCACGGCGGTCTCTCGCCGTCGCTACACTCCATGGAAGAAATCAAGCGTATACAGCGACCAACCGATGTCCCTGACTATGGCTTGCTGAACGATCTCCTTTGGTCGGATCCTTCAGACACCGCCGTAGATTGGGAGGACAACGAGCGCGGAGTCAGCTATTGCTTCGGAAAAGCCGTTATTAACGACTTCCTGGTGCGGTACGACATGGACCTCATCTGCCGAGCTCACATGGTCGTCGAAGACGGGTACGAGTTCTGGAACGACCGGACGCTCGTAACTGTATTCAGCGCACCCAATTATTGTGGAGGTGAGTCATATAAGCCCCTTCATTGGCGCTTCTTCTAAATGCAACGGTGTAGAGTTCGATAACTACGGAGCATGCATGAGGTTCGGAGTTATCCGTCTTCCATGAATATGCGGTATTTCTCACAGTCTAACAATAGCGTATCGGAGGAGTTGCTCTGCGCATTCGAACTGCTCAAACCGTTAGACGGCCCTGCCCTACGAAAAGAGATGACGAAGGCCAAGCGGAAGAGGTATGTCCTTTGTCCCATGGTTGTCAACATGCGCATCATAAATCTGTTTGCAGCATGATGGCCACGACGACTTGAACCGTTGATATCTCGCGCTCGGGGAAGTCCTATATGAATATAATCGCTGTTGGGGCCCTACCCCGATGTTTGTCCCAGCGCGGACAGTCGCGGCTCCCCCTTGGGGTGTGCACATGCCGTTGCATGGGTCGCATTGCCACTTGTACGGCGCTCGCCCTGGAAGGAGGGGAGCCGGAGATTATCCGGGCGCGACCGCCATCATTGATCCCGGCCCGCCTAACTTAACGTATGTTTTCATCGCGTCTCTCTTTCGTGCTACTGGCAATTATCTGGGATTACGGACGGTCGGCTCCTTTGTGTACACGCGCTGCTGCTCTTGCATTCCATACAGTTACGTCGTTCGTTCCCTTTCGTTTGTTAGTACGTACGCGCCGTCATTCCTTTGTCCACGTCTCTACATTCTCTGTTGCAGTCTCATCTCCCACTCTCGTCCGCTTGGTAGTGGTTACCCTCGTCTGTGCTATAGTCATTATCTCTCCCTCAGCATTTTTTTTTCAAAATCACGCATACACTTCTCATGATGGACCAGGGCCAGAGTGCGGCCACGTTTGGCGTAGGGCCTCCGCAGTTCCAGCGCGGTAAAACGACTCCACACTGCCAAGATAAAGTAAACGTGCTCAAAAGCCTCCGTGCAATCGGGAAGGAAGAGGTGTTATACATTCCCGGCGCCGCAGAGCCGGCGATGTCATCTACTTCGTTACAGTTCATAAATCTATGTCACTATTGCGAGCGTGCCCAACACCCAGGAAAGTGAGTCCTTCCACCGGCACCGGAAAGCCTTCAGGCTTCTTGCCATGATCAGGGCAGGAACCCGGTACCGCGCCTGATGCCGATTTCACGTTTAAGATTCGTTGCGAGCAAGGTCATTGACCGTGCCGGAGGCTGGAAGCGGGCAGGTCAGCGTGAACCTTGCGGTATGGAACGGGCCCAATTTGGATGGAAGAGATGCTTACGGATGCTAGAGAGGGCGCCCTTGGTGGAGAGCGTCTGGATCTTGGTGGAGATGTCAGCAGGGCTGGCATTGCCATCGCGGGCGATGATCGTAGCAACAAGTCCAGCGATGTGGGGAGTGGCCATGGAGGTGCCGGAGATGTTGTTAGTTGCCTATGAAATCAAACGAGGTATGAGTTGTCATTGAGATGAGGATCTGGTGGAGGGCTGTGCTACTCACGTTGACACCACCAATCCAGGAGGAAATGACGTTCTGGCCGGGCCCGAAGATGTCGACAACGGAACCGTAGTTGGAGAAAGAGGCGCGAGCGTCGGCGATGGTGGACGCTCCAACGGTGATGACAGCAGGGGCACGAGCGGGGGAGGAGGTGCTAGCGTCGGTGTTGCTGTTTCCCGCGGCCACGGTGACGTGCACACCCTGAGTGGTCAGCTAGAAGCAATCTAATGGTGAGATCGTCTGCTGTGTAACCGATGTATTGGAAGTACCTACAGCGGTGACGGCGTCATCAAGTGTCTGCGAGGTACCACCGCCCAAGCTCAAGCTGGCGATGGAGGGGCGGCCAGATGCAGCAGCCTGCTGACCCACCCAGTTGAGGCCGGAAACGCTGCAAAAATCTCGTGAGTCGATATTGACTTGGACGCCATATACTGGGATGTCGCGCACATGTCAGAGACATAGCCAGAACTGCGTCAAGTTGTCAGTCATGTGTTGTATGGGTGCCGTGGCCAGACGTACCCAGAGTCGGAGAGAACCTTGACAGCAAAAAGTTTTGCCTTCTTGGCGACACCGTATGTCGCGCCAGCAGCCGTGCCTCTGTGTGTTTCATGAGTGAGGTTTTATATGGTGAACGGAAGATACCACTCACGAGACATGAGTGCCGTGGCCGTGGCCATCAGCATCCTGCGACCAGCCGATCAGAGAAAGTCTGCTAGTGTAGCTATCCAGGACTCACAGCGTAACCACCGAAAGTCGCGCCCCAAGTGGCACGTCCGCCAAACTCAGACTGTCGTCAAGCCATCAGTGGAGGGCTCAGCAGCGAGTTAGGGTTTTCAGGACTCAACGCACGTGGGCCGTGTAAATACCGGTATCGACAATGTAGATGTCGACGCCAGATCCCGCAGAGTCGTCGTAAGTGTAAGTGAAGGTAAGGTCGCTCGTATTCTGGTCAGCAAGCTTCGCCGCCTGACTGATGCGCTGGAGACCCCAAGGGGCGTTTGTCCTAGAGTGCGCACAATCGCATCAGTCCTATGGCGAGGGTCTGGACTTGCGACAAGCCGCTTACTGCGTCGCGAAGATAGACACGACACCATCCTCGCTGATAAGCTCTACATCGGGGCTGGCACGCAGCGCGCTCAAAGCGTCCGACCCAAATGTACCTAGAGAAGCGCGATGAACGGATCAGCGCTAATCCTCCAGCGTCCGAAGGACGCGTCCAATCGTGGACACCGACGCGGTCACGGTACCGCGCATCGGGTCGGGGCCACGCCGGTGACAACTGTGGTGCATGCTCACCAGCAAAGCCATTGAGGAAGCCCTCCTGCCACTCGGGGTGAGTGACCGTCGCGGACGCGCCGTGGTTCTCGGCGAGCCAGGCAAGGTGTGCGTCCTTCGACACGCCGTCCTTGAGCTTGACGATGTACGAGGAGGGCTTGACCTCGCCGGCGTACTTCTCGATCGTCTTCAGCTGCGTCGGTGCAGCGGAAGCGGCGGTGAAGAGGGCAAGTGTGGCGGAGACTACGGCGAAGAGCTGCATGGTGGCAAACGTCGTCGGGGCAGGAAGGCTAGGCGAGAAGCTGGTCGAGCTTGCAGAGCACCGAAGCACTGTAGTTGGTGGACGCAGACCACCTTGTCTTTATACTCTGCTGTCGTGCTGCGACCGGGTTGCCAAAAGCGAGATGGTTAGATCACCCGCCGGTTGGCGGTGTTCGAGCTCTCAAGTGCACGACGAGCCATACGGACACCGAGCATGGCTCGTTCTTGGCGTGGATGTCGCAACACCTGAAGTCGATTACAAGTGACCCGACAGCGCCCTCGTGCAAGGCTGCAGTTTGCGTTTGGTAGAGACGTAGAGGACACAGAAGTGAAACTAGCCAAGGCTTATGATGTCAGATGGCGGCATACGGCAAAGCGAAGGGAAGGAATCATGGAGAAAAGAGAAGCTTCTGATGGATTAGACCAGCCTTTCTGCTAGATTCAGAGTCAGAGAGTACACCTGGCTGTACGGATATGGGGGACACCAAGCTCAGCTTTGGTGAAGCGCCCGCTGTACCATTCCGTAAGAGTAACTGACTGCACTCACAATCCTTCTTGGGGCGAATGTGATGGCCATCGTGCTCAGCCGCGACGAGAGTCTACCTTCTGCACCGAGAGCCCAGACTTCGCGTTGCAAACAAGGCGTCGCTTGGAAGACACTGTTGCAGGCAGCGTTGGAGGTGCCTGTCCATCTGTGAACCATGTTCACCGAGCCTTCGTATCAGCCGCCACGAGGCGACCGCAGCAGCGATCAGAACGGGGATGTTATGACCAGAGGTCCTTGCAGCCCGCAAACCGAGGCACTACTAGCGGGGTTCTCGCCAGATACCAGCCAAGCCAAGCTGCACCGACAGAGGACACGCGATATGGCGTTCATCGGCGTCTGCGACAAGCAAGCAGCAGGCAGTGTTCTATCAACAAAGGGTATCACGCGCGTTGGACGCGCCGTTGCTTCGAAATTGCTTGGCAGGTGACTCGCGGCTCATGACATCGCTCGGGCACATGCATGGGCCGCTAAGACGATATTCCAGAGTCCTCGATTCAACTCTTCGAGAGTGTATGAAGGAACCCTGTAGCATGTGCAGCCTCATCGCAGCACGTGAGAATTCCCAGTCAGCTGCATGGAGAGCTCAGCACAGCGTAAAAGACCATGATGTCGTCACGTTGCGTACAAGGGTCAAGTCCCATTCCCACCGGAGGAGTGACTACATCTGGCAGACGGCCGAACAGGAACTTGAGCACAATAACGCATTTCGTCCTTGTCGGATTGTATGACCGATTAATTGTACGCCAGGAAAAGGCAGTGACACCTGCGTCGCGTAGAGGTATCATGTGATACAATTGCTGATTTGAGGTAGATAAGTACGATATTCAAAGGCCACTGGAAACCAAACATGAGCATTTACACATGCGTCTTGCAAGGGTCTTGTGACACATACATACATGCATGAGTCGAGACAGCTAATGCCTGCTCATCAGATCATACGCCAGGATGGCGAAAGCGACGACGATTGAACCGCAACCCAGGACAGCCCAAAAAGTAACCTTGTCCACGGCTCCTCCCCAGATCGCGTCGGATAGGAAGACGAGAACGATGGTGAGGAGGTTTCCAACAGAAGTGACTACCGGTCCCCACACTCCGAGCAGAACCTGCCAAGCTACTGTTAGTACACATCGCCGGTGAACAATAGGGCAAAACCCACCATGAATCCGGCATTGAAGACCGCGCCGGACAGCGCGACGCCCCCTATAGCGAGATACGTGATGCCCCTTTGCGGAAGCTCAAAAGGCACGATGCCCAGGATATGCAGGATGGGGATGGGGATCCAGAAGACGACCAATGTGCAAATGCCGATGCCGAACGTGAGCAGGTTAGGATGGAGGCCAAACGGCAGGGGATCTATGATCTGGCCATGAGACCAGACCACTGCGTCGGAGCCGGATTCGAGGTCATCAACGGGTCCGTCGGGCGAGTCAGCGAGTGGTGCATACACCTCGTTGGATTCGACTTCTGGGTCGTTAGGGAGAGCGGCGTAGGCCTTGTAGAAGACTTGGTAGGCAGCGTAGAGGATGGACGCGGCGAGGGTCAGCAGGTCACCCATCAGAGGGGAACTTGGGGCCTCGTCCTCAAGAGAAGGAGCGGAGAGAAGGCCTTCCGAGGAGTCCGTCTTGTCGGGGCCAGAATCACCGTAGACAACGACAGCAGCTCCCACAGTCGCGATGAGTACTGCTAGTAGACGCCGAGGATCCCACTTGTGGCCGAAAAGGAGTACCGTAAAGACGTACGCGAAGAGCGCGTTCGTATTCCAGAGCGCTGTCACATCAGTGACACTGTGGCCCGTGAATGAAGAAGTCTGTATATGGAGGACGACGGATTACTCACGGGGCTAGGGCCACCGCTACGAACCACAGCAGGGATGGTACTGTCATTCCCAACGTCAGGTAGAAAATCAATCGCAGGAATTTCAATGTCGGGAAGGTTGCCGAGTTGAGGGCAGTAGTAGACTTGGGAGACAACTGCTGCTGGGTCGCGACAAGAACGGTCTTCAAGATCGAGGTGACCGAATGTTCAGAAGTTGCGGCGAGATAGAGGACATGCACAGGGAACGATGTCGCAAAGGCGGAATGTACAACATAGCTGATCACCAAGTCAATACACGATCGTTGCGGGTATCCAGCAGTCACAGAGACTCACAATATAAGGTATGGCTGCCTGAACCCAAGTTGCGCCTGCACATACTATTCCCAACCGCTGCGTCAGTATTAAGATATCGAGAGAATACTTTGACACAGACCTGCGTGAACTGAGTCTCGGTAACGAACGCGATAAGACAAACTGCAAAGATAGCGACGGCGCGCTTTCCGCCTAACTGAACCGCGGCGCGGTGTCCTGAGGGCATGCGGATTGGTATACGTGTTATAAAAGAGAAGAAGAGTCTATCGCGCTGGCGGCATGAAGGGGCCTAGTCCACAGGGCTGAGACGAGATGTAATACGGGACAGGAGCGCAAGCTGCTTGGCTTAAAGTTGGCCACATCTGCGCGTCCGGACGAGAACTGCAGTTAGTTAGGCGCTCATATCCTAGCTGCCCAATCAGGCGCTTTCCCGCCCGTATCTTTGCTGCCGGGCCGCTGCCGGAGGCCTGTTTGGGCCAAGCACTGCCGAAGTTGGGGAGGATGCCGGAGCACGTCCGGGACAAAAGCCGGCGGACGGAGACCTGGCTGAGCTCGCAGAAACTGAGAGTGCCAAACACCTACTCTGCCCGCCATGCTACGCGCACTCCTAGCCTCTAGCCGTCCTCTTCTGTCACGCTTCCGGCCAGCAACGCTTCCCCATGTACACCCCCACCATCACCCACATCATGGGCTTACCGCGGCGCCGTCAGCAAACGTCGTTCTGGCGAGGGGAATGAAGGTCCGGGCATCGGTGAAGGTCATGTGCGACGGGTGCAGCGTTGTGAAGAGGAAGGGGAGGGTATACATCATTTGTTCTAAGAACCCCAAGCACAAACAGGTGCGCTCATCTTTCGTTGGTTGCTCACAGTGGACGTGGCTTACTGACATGGTCTGCAGCGGCAAGGTTGAGCGCCGAGCTACATCCGGTCTTCTTGCTCATCCTCATGCACTATTGCTACCTTCAATCTCGCACAATCATATCACGAACGCGAACTCTCTAGAGGGGAGCCGTATCTTTCCCCGGGCGCGGCAGCTATCGTACCCACATTTGGAATTCGTACTGTACTCCATTTTCCTCCTGCTCCCCTGCAACAACGTCAAAACCCACCCACTCTTGCAACTCCGCGTGCGAGACTCGCCTCCACGGAAGAGTATCGTCCGTTTGCGTCAAGAAGTCGGGCATGAATACGTCGCAATCCTCGAATGCCGGCGCGAGTATCCGCGTCAAGAGCACACGGTCTACGAAGGTGCCCGAGGGCAGGAGTGCTAGTGTCTCGCGGTAGAGGGACGCGCCGCCTATGATGAATGTCCGATGAATGGGTGCTTCGAGGTACTCGGATTGTGAGAGTCGTTCGAGTGCTGAGTCGAGACTTGAGTGGAGGTACACGAGTGCACATGGTGTCGCGGCGTCCGCGGGCAGACTGGACCTGGTCAACCCTCGGTTCAGACGGGAGACGAGGACACGCGACTCACAGCTGGTAGTTTGTGTTGGAGCTGATGACGAGGTTGAGTCTCTTGTTCAATGGTCTAAACTTTTGCGGAATGCTCTCCCAAGTATTCCTGCCCATGACCACCGCGTTCATCGATCCCTCAGGCGCGTTTGTCGTGACGCGCTTGAAGTACGCCATCTCCTTCGCTAACCTCCATGGCAGATGTGAGTTCTGCCCGATACCGTTGTTGCGCGTCGCTGCGACTATGAGCGTGAGGCGGGTCATGGCACAACTGAGAGAAGGTGCTCAGGAGAAAGCAGTCCATGCATGCTATTACGGGCTGCTGATCAATTTGGCAAGTTCAAAACCATAGTGTAAAGTAGCGCCGGAAAACGTCATGAGTCGCACAGCACAGTCTGTGCATGTATAAGTACTCGTCTGATAATGGGTATAGAAAGCAGGTTTGCTGGGCCGGTATCCGGATTCTAGTCAGAGATAGACATGATGGGAAGAGTGTGTCCATAATGTCACCGAAGCCTTCCGTGAAGTGTATAGTATGTAACTACGGTGCAATGCACCGACTCCTCATTTTTGCGATGGCGTCCTCGCTTCAGTCATGGCATAGCTTTGCGTCTGAGCCGTCGCATTGAGGAGAGTACCAGGATGCATCACGTTGAGGGTGTACAGAGCCAGCGTCACTAGACACGCGTCGAATATAACTGTAAGTAGCAACCCAAAGTCAGCCCGGTCACGTATCCGCTAGGATGAAAACGCCTAGGCTTACTGAAGGTGACCTGGTTGTGCGCTATTGACCCGTTGAAGCCGTCGATGAACTCTATGATACGGTAAACGGAACGGATGTACACGGCGGCGGTCGGGATGATGATGCCAAAGATGAGCATCTTCATGTTGCGGTCCATGGGCTGTGAGCGCTGGTACTGGCCTTCGATGGAGTCGACTTTATGGAATGGGCGATCTTTCGAACGGCGCCATGCGTACTCGCCCATAAGGAAAGAAAAGAAGGTCATGGAGACTGGAAGAGGCGAATATGATCAGGTCCCAGGAGGAATGACGAGTGCAACGAGGACTTACTGATCTGTACAAAGAGACCGCCCAGAATGATGTTGCTTCCCTACAGACTCGTTATAACGCCTGAGCCACTACCAACCCACACATATGCAACCCAAGACTTACAAGACGGGCTTTGTGAGGATCGGTGGTGCCCTGTGCAGCGATGCCGCCGCCACCACCCTGGATCAGGAGCGAGAAAATATCGGCCGTCAAGAAGAACCTCGAGTCTTCGGAAAATCAACGGTCTGTGGGGTACGATAGGAACGCCACGGACACTCACACCATGTGGAACGCAAACGACTGTACTGGCCTCCGAGACGTCTGACGACCCTTGCAAAACCCATGAACAGGGCAGCAACCAAGGGTGTGGGTGCAATAACGAGTATAGATACCCTGCAGGCATCACCCGTTAGTGAGGACTCAAAGACGAGAAGTAGTCGGTGAGCAGACGTACTGAATTATGTACGAAGTCCTGACCAGTGGATCATAGGCGGATTTCAACCGCGCCGCCCAACCGACTATCTCTGCAACCCCCGCGATGCAGACAGTCGGAAACAGCCACCATACGCGCGACCGGCCGGCTTGAATAACGTGGAGGACTGCGCACTGTTTCAAAACGATGCTGCCGGATACTAGTACTGCGAGGAGACATACGAGTCGTGATGATGAATATGATTACGAAAATGTAACCGGCGGCCTTTGAGGGCACATATCCGTACAGATTCAAATGAAAGTCGTCCGTGCCTGTGATGAAGAAACATTAGTACGAGACACACCGCGAAAAACGGCCTGACCACTGACCGTCAGCCATGCTAGGTGCACTTGGGAAGCCTGCCAAAAAAAGACAAAATGATAGAGACCCAAGATATTGCTAGGGGGGAAAGGTGGAGATGGCAGAGGGTTTCTTGGGACACCGGCGCTCTGTAAGTGATACCTTTATACTGTCCGGCGAAACGAGCTCCTTGACGTTCTGTTGCGGTGCATGCCACCCTACGTGCGCAGGCACCGACAGCGTGTGGGGCGCCATGCAGCCATAGCACAAACCGAGCAGTGATGTGTGCGGCGCGAGGACGGAGATATGCACGGAGACGAACTTCAAATAGAAAGGAACGGGGGCTTCGTGCACTCTGCAGGGCCATGCGTAGTGAGTTACCTCAACCGGAGGCGGTGCTCTAGCGATTTACCTTGATACTTACGAACCTCTCTGTTGGTACCGCAGCAAACAGACCGACGAGGGATTTACGGTCACAAGACCCCTTGGCATGGGCGTACATAGCGCGAAGAAGTTGTATACAAGGTGAAAATTGGGCACCGCACTCGCATAAGTATACGAGAGAGATGGACTTCCTAGACGCCCAGGGCGCAACGAGTTTATGATGAGTCATCATGCTTACTCACAGGCCTGCAGCTCGCTCTAATGCACGGCCCGTCCACCGTGAGACGCGCCAGCAGAGGACCCCCGGCAATACTTAGGCCCAAATGTATGATCCAAGATCCTTGAATCCGGCCAGAATTGTCCGATGGATCAGGCCTTGTCTGAGGCCAAATTCGTCCGGATTTGACCAGGCCTCCCGATTTTCGCTCAAATTTGGCCGGACTCTGGATCAGGCCATCGGGAGGTCCAAAATTATCCGGATTCGCTGGATCAGGCCTCCTGAAAGCAGATTTTCGTCGGGGACCGCTGTAACCATGCTGATATTGACTACAGGTGTGGGATAGCATGCAGGAGAGGTCGTAGATAGAGGTATAATGTAAGGACGCAAGGAGGAGCTCGCATACGGCACTCTAGATGTCCGGCGCTACATCCACCGAAGAGTGTACGAAGGGTCTCGTTCGGAGGATCTTCGCTGAATGCATGTGAGGCCTTCTGAGAGGTGAGTGCCGATGGACGAGGGGGAAGATCTGTGCAGAGCAAATGCAGCACGGAATTGGTGGGGGTTGGCAGTGGAGGGTGTTGTATT